CAAGTTGCTGCAGTCGGCACCTAAAAACTTTCCCGTCTGAGCCTCGAAGGGATTTTGGACATGTTTGGCAAAAGCACGGAAGGAATCAACGATGCAATTCCTACCCTCTGGTAATTTGATACATAGCTATTGAAAATGGCAATTTATAATTGATTTTCCCATTAAGAATGGTGATTTTCCATAGTTATGTTAGTTTACCAGAGGGCAATGTTCATTTACAGTCGTTTCATTTGAATTCATTTGGTGTTTCTGGTTCGCTCATGCTATGTGACGTATATACCCTCTGGTAAACTAACATAACTATGGAAAATCACCATTTTCAATGGGTAAATCCACTATAAATGTAATTTTCAATAGCTATGTTAAATTACAAGAGGGTAAATAAAACCCAATTGTGTTAAGTCATCTAGTCCAAGTACTCCTTGGCAAGTGGGGCGCCTATCTAGATCGATTTTGAAGGAGGAACCCAAACCATGTACGCAGCTTTATCATTCAAAAACATTCAAAAACTACTATGAACAAAACATCCACATGGCATAGGCAATCAACACTGGTTTCAGCCCACCCTGAAAATATATGAACATATCACTCATTTAGGTCGAATGATGCCAAATAAAGATGGACAAATCACACATCATGCAAAATCATCAGCCAGGGATGCTTGGTAAAACACGTCTACTATTCAGACGGGGATTCTCAAAACATCGATGCGTTGCAAAGAAGACATGACTCATCCAAAATCATCCATTTTGAATTGAAATTCCGACCAACCCGTTCCAGATAAGTTTACTTGTGTAGCTTTATCAGCGGTTCAGCACCCACGAAGTTGCTGCAAAAGGTTCAGTCAGGCAAGCGCACGAAGTCAGCCTGTTTTCGAAGCCATCGCTCTTGGTTGTTTACCCACCCACCTGGCAAAGGGCATTTGACCCAAAGGTGGTGGTCACGGACATATACCTGGCAGGCAAGTTGGTGCATGACAGGTGGTTTCAGTATATACCTGGCAGGCAAGTTGGTGCATGACAGGTGGTTTCAGTTGCAAACTGCCCGGAGGGCAAGTTGGTAAACTGACACGGGCAGTTGTTAAAAAGAGCCTCATGTGTCAGGTGAAAAGAAAAATTGCTCTCTCACAGAATCTTCGGCATCATCGTCCAGTGAAAGCTCGGTCTGTCACCATGTTTCGGTCTCTCGCACAGCAGTACTCACAATGGTCGTGCTCTTGCACCATGTGAGCTCGGTTTAGCTCGATGATGGGGCACTCAGGGTCGATGTGCCACAGTGAGCCGTCCAGTGTCGGCTGCACAAGGACTGTGTCGCCAAGCGGGCACGGAGCTTGGTGGTTGGCTATCAGGCTTCGAAGTCTATCGGTTCTTGCTTGTAGAAACCGAATTGCTTCGATTTGAGAGGCCAGCATAATCGCCATCACGTTGGCGTTGCGTCTTGTTTCTTCCAGTTCATTCGCGATCTCGTTGCGGCGGCCAGCCACATCATAGCATTGACACCGAAGTCGGCGAATCAAATCCGCCTGTTCTGCACCTTCTCGTTGGAGTTGGTCCACGTGGGCATAGGCAAGGTCCATTGCCTGTTGCAGGCGCAGTCGCTCGTATCGAGCACCAAGCCAAGGTCCAAGGAGGAGGCAAAGGAGCATCATCGCCAAAATGGCGAAAATCCAAATTCCGCTCTGTCCATGTTCATGGTCCGGAGCTGCATGCATTGCAGAGGTCGTAGGCAACCAGGTCAGCGCCGCGATGACATACTTTATCACCTTGGCATTCTTTGGGGTTGCTACGTAGGCCTCGACAGGCTCATAGGGCTCGACATGAGTGTCGTCATACACAGGTTCATAGGTCTCTTCATTCATGTCTTCATCCTCCATCGTGTAGAGCTCGGCAGGGTCCTCAGGGATCTGCAGCTCATAGTTTCCATCATCCATGCGTTCATGTTGTGGTTGTGTTGTAGGTGAAGGTGAGGTGAGAGGTTGAGAGTGAGGTTGATGTTGATTGGATTCCTTCCCTTTCGCAAACTCATTGCGGCTTGCTTCTCTTTCTGCAGCATCTTTGCGTTTCGCGCTAGTGTAGTATGGGTCCCACACCAGCTTCTGTCGATGATGTCGAAGTCGGTCAGCCAGCAAAGTTCTGGTAGAACTCTTTGTCAAACCATCAGCGAACTGCTTTTCGCTGCTCATCCATTTCAAAACACCACCCAAAGCTTGTAGTTGTTGTTTTCCAACTCGTATCTCCAGAGACGTCCTTTTGTCAACGGACGAAGAGCCAGTCAAACCTTCTTTGTTGTAGCTGTCATAGAGGGCTTTGGCATCGGTAATCATGACGGGCTCAAGGTCAGATCGTTGGTCCAGACATTCTTTCAGCTTTGAAGGAGGGTTGAAGAGGCAAGTCCAATATCGGCATATGAACTCTACCATATCCGCTGTTTGGCCAAAAGCTTGAGCTTCGGCACTTAGACTTGACCTTGCCACTCTGGGGAGTTTGAAGCTGCGCCACTCTATCAAGTGGTAGGATGTCTCCTTTTCAAAGATCTTCTTGGGCACGACGAAGATCAGGTAGCCACCCTGAGACGTGGCATCTTCTCGGACTCCATGGGCAGCATCAAACATTGCACAGAGCCTTAAGTCGGCAAGTGAGTCAATGTCCAGGGGTTCATAGTTGAGCTTGACATCGCTATTTTGTTTTGCAAAGCGCAGCAGTTGGCTGGCTTCAATCACCGCACGTAGTTTTCCCGTCTTCTGCTGACCACTAATAAGGCTTGCAGAACACTGTAAGTGCGGTGCAGTCTGCACGGCAGGCCATTGCAGTGAGCCAAGGAGAGCTCGAAGTTGTGACCTGTCATGGTCGTTCATCTCATCTTCGGCCGTACGGCCTTTGTGTATGGTCACGGGCTTGACCTTCTGGATGTAGTCATGTTGATTGACCTTCCAGCAATGGTCATGCCTTTCAAGCTTCACACCACAGTACTCCAGGGTCTTCTCATCAGTCTCGAAGGTCCTGAAGTCAAAGGCTTTCTTCAAGGCAGTCTCGGCATCCACATAGATTTTGGAGTTTGGATCTCCGGCAGCAAGCATGTCATCAACGTGAAGACACAGCATCCCCACAAGCGTTGGGCTTGACTCCTTCTTGAAGTCGTAGAGGCAAAAACAGCAAGGGTCAAGCGCATGTTGTTGCCATCCAAGGCTTTTCAGTCGGCGGACGGCTTCCAAAAACCATCTCCTAGGAGCATCAAGTTGGCCATAAACTGGCTTTCGTAGATACATTCTTGTGTTGGCGGTGGCTCCAAGGATCTGCAGGGCTTCGTTGGGAAGCTTTAGCCATAGTTTTCGTTCTTGTGGTAGGCCTTGAAGGAAGGCAGTGCTAACATCTGCAGACCATGCTCGCCATCGCAAGTTGGCGGAAACAGAGAGCAGCAGGGATCTTGAAAGTCGGCTGGTGGTTGGTGACGCTGTTTCCAAGTTGCCCATGAGCGCGTCCACATCGTTGAACCCACGCACCACAAGTCGTGCTTTTGCACGAGGGCTACCATCAGCATTGCGACTCCATTTCAAAAGAATCCTGCTTGTAAGTGTTCTCTCTGGTGTGGCTTCTTCTGCAGTGCTAAACTCCCAAACGCCACATTCAAAAAAGCTGCGAAGTTCTTTCACCTTCGCTTGGTGGAACATTTCTCTTTCAGTTTGGTTCAGGTGCTTTTCTACCACTTCGCCTTTGTTCTTGGCCATCTTGGTGACATCTCGACGTTGTTGTCTTTGATGTTGGTTCTTGAGGCCTTGGGCGACCTTCTTCGCATTCTGAACGTGGTAACAGTGGTTGCTGTCGCTGGAAAACATGTTGAGTTCTTTTCTGGTTTCTGCATTGAGTTGAAAAACTGTGATACCCTTCCATGTAGTTGGCAATTGATGCTGCCGCAGGTCTTTGTCATGATGCTGAGGATTTCTGAAGTCATCCGTGAAGGTCTTGGCACTGCCGTCACGGTCAAAGTGAATGGTGACTCTGACGTTGTCAAGCTTATCAAGAGGAACTGGGATGTCTGAGATGCCAGCTGGGTCAAAGAGAGTGCGCCGTTGGTGACAGTGATGTTGAAGGAGGCATCCAGCTTTCAGCTCCCAGAAATCACGTACTCGGGCACCTTCACGCAGCTCAAAGTAGCCAGTCTCAGGCTTGAAGCACCAGTCACCAGGCAGTGACTCTTGTTCCATGTCCTCCACATTGAAAGCCATGTTGGCAGCAGCAGCATCATCATCGCCACATGCAGGACGATCATATGGTGTAGCTCCATGTGAGCTTTGAAGTTGTGGCCTGCGGGGTCCAAAAGACAAAGTTTCTTGGCGGTCAACTCGTGCTCGTCGTTGCTCAAAAGTCTCTTGTTGTGGAACTTGAAATCTCTCAGCAGTTGCAGGGTCTAAAGCTTGACCAGCTGCTGGTGTTGGAGGAAAAACTTCTGCTGAGGGCTCCACTTCGTCGTTGTTGTTGATTGGCAACGTTGGAGGTAGAGGAGGTTCATCAGCCATTGGAGCTGGTGGTCCCATAAGTCCAGGGGACGGAGAAAGTCCATCATGTTGTCCCAAAAGTCCAGGGGACGAAGGTGATCCTTCTGGCAGTCCCATAAGTCCAGGGGACGGGTGATGACCATCATCAGGAGGTCGATCATCATCACGAGGACCATCATCGGCAATTGATGGCTCGTAGTCATCATCACCTTCAGCTCCATCTTGAAGTTCAGCAAGTCGACGACGTTTGGCCTCAGGCACATAGTCATCGGCCTCGTGGTCGGAGATCATCTCTTCATCTTCATTGATGTCGTCAATGTGTTGACGATTCAAGCGGTTCAAGTCCAGGAACCTTGTCACGCCACGAGACTTGACTTGTCGTAGAACTTCTTTGGCTTCAAGAAGATTGTCCACCACGTTGTTGGAGATCTGTCGGAAATCAGGGCGGCAATGGTGAGGAGCACAACGCAGGAGTTGGGTCTTGTGGCAAATCCAGTAGGTTGAAGCATTGCCTTGCTCATCATCCTCAACCATGAGAACCTTGGCTGGTCCTCGCCATCTGATTTTGACAAGGTCTGCTTGTTGAGCATCACGCCAGTAAAAACATGTCTGACCAACAGCAAGTCGTATGTTGGCGCCGGCATATCTTCTGAGAAGAGCACGGCGAAGTCGATGGTCAGTGTCAGCTTGTTGAAGGGCTGACTTGGCTGCATTGCGACGCATCAAAGCATCTTCAAAGGAGTGGCCTCCGGCTAAGTGCACAGGGGTGATCTGGTCAGAAGTCAAAAGTCCATTGACCTGTGGTTGATACCCCAAAAGCCATTGTGAAGGGCTGTAGCCGGAAACTGTGGGCTGAGCATTTTGTTGCGGCACTATGTAGGTCAGAGCAGACCTGATGCCATCAGCTCCATGAAGTTATAGATCTTGCATGTAGACCTCAATGCTCTTTCGTAGAACTGCATGTCGCCGTTCCACAAGACTCAGTCGGGTGTGAGCTTCTCCAGGAGCAACATCATGATGGATCGAGTGCTCATCAGTCCACAAAGCCATTGGGTCTGAAAGCCATCCCCTGCCTTCATCGGTGACAAGGGTTTCAGGTGGCCCAAAATGGGCAATCCAGCATCTTTCCAAACCAGCTATCAAGTTGGAGGTTTTCTCATCAGGCACCAAGGTTGCAGTCTGGTACTTGGTGGCAGAGTCAACGCACGAAAGAACCGCAAACTTCTTGTCACCATCTTTGATCCAAAAGACATCAGCTTGAAGTCGTTGGTTAAAGTGGTCGCTTTTGGCCAAAGTAGATGGTGCAGTTTGATTGGGTTTCTTGTAGCGCTGACATGCTGAGCAAACATAGGAACCAGCAACTTGTAAAACATCAGGGCTTGCACCTCTGGAGCTCAAAAGTTCAACCAAAGATGCCGTTGAAGGGTGTCCAAGGTTTCTGTGGAGCTTCTGCACAACTCGAAGGGCTGCAGACTTGCCTTCGACATGGAGTTCCACGAGCTTGCCAACGTGCTCGGTGATCTCTTGCACGGCATAGCCATGTTCCCAGTTGTGTGGGGCTTCAGGTGTTGCCATAGCTGCCGCAAGAGTTGATGCCATAGCGGGTTGGTAGTTTTCCATGTAGGTTGTGCGATGCACTTGAAATCCACGAAGTGAACCTTCAAGACGGCAATGTTGATGATCTCCAGGGCATTGTCGATTCATGGCTTGGGCCACGGCCAGCTTTGTCGTCAAAAGAGTTGTGTCCTTTCGGACTGGCAGCCATTGCTCGTTGTCGTTCTTGCACATAGCGCCATACTGGCATTGGCTGAACTTGGCACGGTGACCTGGCAAAGTTGACAATGCGCTGGTGCGCCATGACAAAGCAGGTGTTGGTTGTTCCACGTGTGCATGTCGGCCTTCGTTGACCTGCTTCAAGTAGATCCTTCTGCAAAAACGCAGATGAACTCTGTGATGCCAATCTCGTAGTTGTTGAAGTTGTTCTTGACGCTGCGGCGTCTTGGCATTGATATTCTGCATTGGAGACCAAGGTCCACAAGTGGGCGATAGAACCACTTCTTCAGGTTGGTGTTCATCCAGCAGCTTCATGAACTCGCGCTGGTGGGACTTGTAGGAGAAGTTCCAACCATTGTTGAGGCCGAAGTGCTGCGCATCCATGCCCAGGGAGGTGGCAATCTTGGTCATACGGCTCTCGCCACAGTAGACTTCCCACAGTTGCCTTGGTTGACGAAAGTCCATGTCGCGCAAGGTCTGTGAGATGTAGGCTTCTGCTGCGTTGAGTTGGGTCAGCACTGAGGTGTCTAAGGACTTCAGCTGCTTGGTCTTGAGGACGTTGGAGCCTTCAGGAATGACTGCATCCTCAGTCACATAGATCTCTTCAGACTCCTTGAACTCGTCCAAGTTAAAGTCAGTTCAAGCACCAAGTCAAACTCAGGGTTGTTGATGTCGATGGAAGGGTCGTAGTCCTCAGTCAGAGGTAGCAGGTATTCCATGTGTCTGCCCAAAGTTGCAGCACGCCATTCACCATCATTGTATCGCAGTCGATCGTTGAGGAAGTCCACAGTCAGTCCCATTGCTTTGGCAATGGGGCGGCCAAGAAACATGGGTGTTTCCCCTCGAAGTACAAAGGCTTGGACCAGACCAAACTTGTTGTTGAGGTAGATCGGCAAGTGGACTGTCCAGTTGATGACAGCCTTGTGATCGCCGCCAAAGTGAAAGGTGCGATCTGCCTTCTTGAACTTGATCTGGTTGATCGGAAATCCAAGCTTGCCCAGGTGCTCGAGGTATCGCATCAACGGTCCCATGCCCATGAGGAAGGACGAAGCTCCAGGGTCCATCATCGCACAGTCAGGTCGTTCAGCACCTGTGGAATCTTCAAACATCACCATGCCGCCTTCAAGTTGGAAGGCCATGCTCTCCACAGCTTGGCGTTTCGCAGCATTGCCAGCTGGTGCTGACTTTGGAGTTGCTTTGGAACCCTGAGTGCAGTTGGCCGTCTTATGGGACGACGATCCACAACGCAGACATGGGGCGTGAAGAGCAGCTTGAGCATGTCCTCGAGGATCAGGTGTTTTCATAGGTGGCCGTGGCGGCCTGAAGTTGTTCTTGCCCTTCCCCTTTGACTTACCTTTCTTGCCCTTGCCCTTGTTGGACTGCAGCGGCATCTGAGTTGGTGACACACCCGAAGAAGAGGCTGTAGGGTCCAAGGCGACCACAGGGAGAAATCCGCGGGCCATTCGCAAGTCGTTGAATCTCTTCCGGGCATCAAGGTATGAGGCATAGCAGGAGTCGTACTCGGCGATGTCGAACTCATAGTCCAGCGTAGGATCATGGTTGCCAGCATCATCTTCGTAGTACGCCGCATCATAGTCAAACTCATAGTCCTGCCAGTTGGTGTCGTCCTCGTCATACTCATAGTACCCATAGTCATCTTCATCCCAGTCGGCCCAGTCATCAGCGACGGACTCCACGGTCTCATCATCAGCGCAGTAACCACGACCTTTTCCAGAAGATCGCATAGACCATCGGGAGTTGGGAATTCCATGGCCACTCTTGTAGTCCTGACCCAAGATGGCAAACATCGACTCTTGGATCTTGGTTCTTTTCAGCGTGTTGGCCTGGGTCATCACCATCTGTTTCTGTTCTCGGCTGAGATTGGCACGGTTGAGCAAGTACCAACCTTGAACTTCAGGAGGAAGGTTCAACCTTGTGCTTCTCCAGGCGTCTCAGCTTTTCGTCATGCTCTGTCACAAACTGAAGCAAGGATTGGCCGGGACGTCGGCCTGCAGAGTCAAAGTAGGCCGTGAAGTCGGCTGGCATCTCAACTTTGTTGTCATACTGGAAGGCTGCATCGAGCTGTTTGAGGATATTCTCAAAGGCTTCAGGGTCGTTCACCTTGTTCAGGTCAAAGTCTTCGACGATCCTCCAAGCAGTGCCTTGGAGTGATCCTAACAGGTTCAACACAGCTTCTTGGGTTCTTTTCGAAAGCTCCATCTTCTTTGCGTAGATCACTATCCGCTTTCGCCATTCTCGGTAACCAGTGGTGGTACCATCAAAGGTCGGGATGAAACTGTCCCGAAGGCTTTGGGTATCCAGCTCAGTTCCAGTCTTTCCAGAACTCGAAGTTGTCATAGTGCTCGTTAAGAGCGTGCAGCTCGAGCAACAGGTAGAGGAAGTTCCCCTTGAAGGAATCCAGGGTGAGGTTGGAGGTTATGATGAAGGTTAGAGGTTGTAGTTGGAGTAGCGCAGTGGTTGGAACGCAAACAGGCGCTCCGCTACCAATGTAGCTTTATCAGCGGTTCAGCACCCACGAAGTTGCTGCAAAAGGTTCAGTCAGGCAAGCGCACGAAGTCAGCCTGTTTTCGAAGCCATCGCTCTTGGTTGTTTACCCACCCACCTGGCAAAGGGCATTTGACCCAAAGGTGGTGGTCACGGACATATACCTGGCAGGCAAGTTGGTGCATGACAGGTGGTTTCAGTATATACCTGGCAGGCAAGTTGGTGCATGACAGGTGGTTTCAGTTGCAAACTGCCCGGAGGGCAAGTTGGTAAACTGACAACTTGCATATTTAAATGCATAAGCAATCCCGTTACCTCGATGTCCACGACACAGGACATCAACAACTTTGGTCCCATGTCTTCGACCACGCGTTTGGGGTGTCTCACTATTTGGGAACGTCCCAACGCTTACCTCAGTCCTAGTACAATTTCAAATTTCCAAAAGCCGATGTCCGTCCCTTACATGTGTACAATGTGAGGCCCCCAAGATATGTTTGTTGGTTTAGATTCTCCCCAGTAACTATAGTTATAAATACCATAAACCATAGTTATTGGAGTTATGTTCACCAACTTAGCTATCTTGGGTCCCTTACATGTGTACATATGCCAGAGCTTTTCCACATCAAAAGCTGGTAGGTCTACCCTGGTTTCCCATGGATTTGTCCACCCAACAACGTAGTGCATCCATGTGAATCCCATCAAAAAATCTGTGCTCAAATCCACGTGCATCCGATTTCTTGGGTGCTACACTCAATACTTGAACAGGCTTGAAACATATCTGGTTGGTGGTTTCAACCTACCCCCCTGAAAAATGATGGAGTGAAAGTCAGTTAGGATGATTAATTATTCCCAACATGATGGGAAAGTCATAATCCATTCATGTTCCAAAGCACCAACCAGATAAGTTCATTAAAAACTTATAAACCAACAAAAATTTTGGAGCCACCACATCATAACCATCCACATGTATCTAACCCTCTTGTAGTTTCTGTTCATTCGTACGGTAAATCCCAGTGACCCAGTGACCGGTGCCCCCCCAGGGCCCCAGGGCCCCACCGCACGCTGACCCAGTGGCAGCTCCGGGATAGGCCCGGGCCAGAGAGGCCCATGCGCGCTCACCCTGGCAGCCGTGATGGGTTCGGAAATGCACCAGTTGGTAACGCCTACTATATATCTATATATCTATATAATATGTATACTGCTTGAAACACTGGTTGAATTTTCTGGGATTCTAACGGGATGCATTTGGGAACTCTTGAGATTCCTGTACTATCTCTTGGGATTATAATGGGAATTCTTCCACCAACTGGTGCAGGATTTCGCGACCATCCACGGGAGATAGCCTGCAATATGCACTGAATTGCCTTCCTCACGTTCCTCATCAAATCGCAATTGAGGGTACCCTCTGGTAATTTAACATAGCTATGGAAAATCACCATTTTTAATGGGAAAATGCACTATAAATGGCCATGTTCAATAGCTATGTTAGTTTACCAGAGGGTATATCCTCCATTTTCCGACAAGATCTAAGAACAAATGGGACAGTGACCAGTTGTACCACTGTGATGTAGCAGCAAAGCAGCTGTTTGACAATCGCTTGAGTACCAAACACCTCCCGACGAGTACAGTAAGGACCAATGTTTCAGATGAGGAATCCTCCGGTAAACATGACAATGGACAATCTCCCGTTTCCAGCTGATGTTGGCATAAAAACTTCCATTCATAGGGGATTTTAGTTTTCAATTACCATGTGTGATTCCTGGGAGGAACGCCAAGTTTCAACAGCAAGGTTCGGTGGGGCCTTTAACAACCGTTTATTCCAGATTGAACCAACAAGGCACAAATTGAAGCAACCAGGTTGTTAAATTGGGGTACCCTCCTGTACACCAACATAGATGTGGAAAGCCCATCATTTGTGGATCCTTTTCCTAGCTAAACCATCAGGTTTCCACTATGTTACTTGACCGGTAGGGTAATTAATGTTCATAACATAGAACGTTCAATATTACTTGCTCGGGTGGGGATCCCTAATTAATATTCAACACGGGTTTCCTGTACTTTGGGGTGGACATGAAAATCACATGTTTATGTGTTAGCATTGCAGTATACATTCAACATTCTGATTGGCGTTTCTAACCCTGCAAGAAATTCCCGTCAGTCAGCAACATATAACACCATGAACATCTTCACAAAAAAATGAAAACAAAAAATTACTTTACTTCGTGTGATCCCCGCCATGACATTTATACATTTTCTTGCTGGCAAATCTTCTGGCATTCTATCTGACATATCTTCTGACATTCTATTTGGCATTCTATCTGGCATATCTTCTGGCATATGATCTGGCATATCTTCTGGCATTCTATCTGGCAAATCTTCTGGCATTCTATCTGGCATATCTTCTGGCATATATTCTGACATATCTTCTGGCATTCTACCTGACATATCTTCTGGCATATATTCTGGCATATTTTCTGGCATATCTTCTGGCATATCTATCTGGCATATCTTCTGGCATATTTTCTGGCATTCTATCTGGCAAATCTTCTGGCATTCTATCTGGCATATCTTCTGGCATATTATCTGGCATTCTATCTGGCATTCTTTCTGGCATTCTATCTGGCATTCTATCTGACATATCTTCTGACATTCTATTTGGCATTCTATCTGGCATATCTTCTGGCATATATTCTGGCATCTTCTGGCATATCTTCTGGCATATCTTCTGGCATTCTATCTGGCAAATCTTCTGGCATTCTATCTGGCATATCTTCTGGCACTCTATCTGACATATCTTCTGGCATTCAATCTGGCATTCTATCTGGCATATCTTCTGGCATATATTCTGACATATCTTCTGGCATTCTATCTGACATATCTTCTGGCATTCTATCTGGCAAATCTTCTGGCATATCTTCTGGCATATCTATCTGGCATATCTTCTGGCATATTTTCTGGCATTCTATCTGGCAAATCTTCTGGCATTCTATCTGGCATTCTATCGGGCATATCTTCTGGCATATGTTCTGGCATATCTTCTGGCAAATCTTCTGGCATTCTATCTGGCATTCTATTTGGCATTCTATCTGGCATATCTTCTGGCATTCTATCTGGCATATCTTCTAACATTCTATCTGGCATATCTTCTGGCACTCCATATCTTTTGGCGTGGATACTCGCGGTTGAGGTCCGGCAGGGAACACTGGGCGTGGATGGTCGCGGTTGAGGTCCGGCAGGGAACACTGGGCGTGGATGGTCGTGGTTGAGGTCCGGCAGGGAACACTGGGCGTGGATGGTCGTGGTTGAGGTCCGGCAGAGAACACTGTGGATCGCGAGGTCGCAGTTGAGCAGGAGGACGACGAGGACAACGAGAGGAGGAGGAGGAGAGGAGGACGAGGCAGGAGGAGGCGGAGGAGGAGGAGAAGGAGGAGGAGGAGAAGGAGGAGGCAACTGACATAAAATCTAACAACCCTCACCTGGCAGGTGGGGAACAACTGGAACCACTTATCTGCTGTCTTCGCCTTCGCGTTGCCTTCCGCGTCCCAGGGCAACGCTGCAGTGCCACTGCGGTTTCCGCGTTGGTGGCGTGAACCAGGTAGCACGCCTTTCGCCAGGGTGTCTAATCCCATCGTCACAAAGAGCCCTGTAATGGGAAGGGTACCCAGGGTACCCTAAACCTATGGGTTTCAATAGTATAGTTACCCTCTGGTAAACGTTAACAAAAAACTATGGAAAATCACCATGTTTAATGGGAAAATCAACTATCTCTATGGCCATTTTCAATAGCAAACTGTTACTATTTGATAGAACGATTTTTGAGATGCTTAGGAGCTACCCAGGACCCTCCTTTCAGGAAAGACCGCGAGCTTTCTGGCAGTTTGTTATCGGATTTACAGAGGACGACCAGGATGAACTTCAGTTAACGAGGGTTTTAATCCCAGCTGTAGCACGTATGTGGATGTGCATCTTAATTGGAATATATATATATATAAACAACACATATAATATAATATAATATAATAAAATAAAATATAATATAATATAATATAATATAATACGATATAATATAATACAATATAATACAATATAATATACATATAATTTACATATAATTTACATATAAAATGCAAATAATTTACATATAATATAATATAATATAATTTAATATAATATACATAAAATATATGATAATATAATATAAAATCATAAAATATAATATAATATAAAATAATATAATATACATATAATTTACATATAATATAATATATAATATATAAAAAAGAATAAAATATAATAGAATAAAATATAATAGAATAGAATATAATACAACATAATATAATATACTATAATAAAATATAATACAAGATAATATAATATAATATAATAGAATATAATATAATATAATATAATATAACATAATATAATATACATATAATATACATATAATATAATATAATATAATAAAATATAATACAATATAATATAATACAATGTAATACAATATAATATACATATAATTTACATATAATTTACATATAAAATGCAAATAATTTACATATAATATAATATAGTATAATATAATATAATATAATATAATATACATATAATTTACATATAATAGAATATAAGATAATATACATATAATATACATATAATTTACATATAATTTACATATAATATACATATATTTTACATATAATTTAATATAATATGATATGATAATCATAAAAATCATAGTGATAATGATAATAATACTAATAATACTACTACTACTAATAATATATATATATATATTTATATAGTTACCGTTCACGCATGGGTTAAATATAGATTATATATGTTGACGAGTTCCTACCTGGGATGTACATCCACCAATATATACCTGCGGCTACCCAATAAAACTGCTGTATTTCCCAATTGTGAAGACAGTTATCATGTCTAAAATGCTGTGTTTGCAACTGGTAGGAGAATCTTACTGGACGCGATTGATTTATTGAAGGTTTACAGTCAGTGCCAGAATTATAGAACGGAGCCAGGAGTACAAAAGTACGGTAAAATACCGTACCTTCGTATTCCTCCGGATCCCGATTCCGCGCGGATTCGGATCTGTTCTATAATTAAATTTCCCCGTTCTATAATTTCTGGCACCTCCATGATATTTATTGCATATTTGTACATATACAATCTAAAAAATGAAGATTTAATGAGGATTTAATGAGGATTTGATGAGGAAATGAAGATAAAATGACGATAAATGAAGATTTGATGAGGAAACGAGGATAAAATGAGGATAAAATGAAGATAAAATGAGAATTTGGTGAGGAAATGAGGAGAAAATAAGGATAAAATGAAAATAAAATGAGGATTTCATCATTTAATGAGGATTTGATGAGAAAATGAGGATAAAATGAAGATAAAATGAGGCTTTGATGAGGAAATGATAATAAACCGCGGATAAAATGATAATAAAATGAAGATTTAATGGGGATTTGATGAGGAAATGAGGATAATATGAAAATTTAATGAGGATTTGATGGCAGATGTTCCAGTGAGCTATTTGACGGCCCACGATCTGCTACAATACAAGTCTTGAGGGGATGGAAAAAAGGCAGTTTGCTCAGCTCTTTCTGGGACCCCGGAAGAGGTTCTATAATTCTATAATTAATTTTTCCGTTCTATAATTAATTTTTCCGTTCGACGGAAAAATGAATTATAGAACGGAGAAAATTAATTATAGAACGAAAATGGGAAATGTGAGAAAAATGGTGGAAAACAGAATTATAGAACAACAGCGCTCCGACAAGAATTATAGAACGACGAAAAAGGTTAGGAGTAAATTCAGATACGATTTTTTTTCATACCTTCCGAGGAAAACAGAATTATAGAACAACAGGGTACGGTAAATAACCGTACCTTCGTACTCCTCAACTTCCGTTCTATAGTTCTGGCACTGACAGTAAAGGCATATAAAATCATATAATTCAGGAGATATACATATGACGATGTCTGGTACCAATACTGATTGGCAAAAGCAAGTACCAATATAAATGGTAGATCTCCCGAAGACAAAATACACATAGGCCAAATACATCTGGATAAATGATACTAATTCATCAACCTGAGCAGCTTGCCAACTTGGGGGTGATTTTCCCTTATAGTTCAGCCAGATAGACATGTATCGAACAATTGAGGGTGGTAGAAGTAACTGGACCCTGGAATCGACAGACATCTGTACACTTGAACGCCGACGTTGAAGCTGCATTCACCCAACAAGATGTATGGTACATCCAAAAACTGCTGAACTTCTTGACATACTCTAACCTCCCAAGAAATGTCGTTTCCCCTACCAAAAAATCATTGTCCATCATGAAGTGAACAGTTATAAAACCCCTTACGACATGTCATTTCCCCTATCTTCAGATCATCCGACAGCCATGTTTTCGCTTTGCATGTGTCACATGTTTCATCGTTTTTTTCACCACTCGTCCCTTTTTCATCATCCCCACACGTTGACCTGGCACAAAACTCACGCTGAAGGTGACCAAGGCGACCAGAGTGGCAACCACAAACCTGAAGCGTGAAACCACCAGGGATATTGCGCAATAATTTGTTACAGCAATTTCTTGGGCATATGGATTTTGAGTTTGGGAATGCGATTGTAGTTGTAACCCTGAGGCTCCCACAAGAATAACCTGAGACTACCTGAAGGTTCTAATGTCCCATTGTTCGTCTAGAAATACAATTACGGTTTCCCAAGTTGAAAGCATCCTGCTTCCAGTTTCCACTGAGTTTCAGAGAGTTTATCCCAACTTGTACTGATTTTTGTTGATATTCCTGGCATACACTTACTGTTTCGCACGTGGACTTTGGATGATTTTGGATGATTTTGGCATGGCCTGTCTTAGACAACCGTATCAACATGTATCAACATTATTCAAGTTCATGTTTTGCTCCGTGTCAAACTAAATGTTCCATTTTTTTGAACAGCAAATAACCCATTAACCCATCCCTATGGAAATCAAGATATGAGACCATTATAAATCTGATAATATATCGGAGCTATATTCAAAAAACTCTTATATATCATATATATATATATTCATATATCATTATGTTTATAAATTTCTTAGCTGATATATGCTGATATTAATATAGATAGAACATCTATATCAAAAATCAAGTTAAAGAAACAATGAGTTTGCTCAATAGGGCATGAATAGGGCATGAAAGGCTACTCAGCTACTCTTTTCGACTTGTTCCACGAGGGACCATCCGTTCCTTCGCGCTGTGCGTCTCGCCATGGCAGCCCAGCGGCTCGTTTTTGGGGCGAGGATCAAAAGCGGGGCTCTCGATCCAAGGCGGCTCTCGATCGTCTAATGGGGGGATTGAAGTGATTGAACCCCAATTCATTGCTGGTTGGTGGTTTCAACCTACCCCTCTGAAAAATATAAAAGTGAGTTGGGATGATGACATTCCCAATATATGGAAAAATAAAAATGTTCCAAACCACCAACCAGATTGCCATTTCATGGCAAAATCGAGGGAAAATCATGGTAAACACCAACCTGAATAGAAGTTTAAATCAGTTATATGACCATCCTTTATGTAGCCAGCACTTTCGTGATCATCCTGGCTCCGGGCTTATGACAAATCATTAGTAAATGACGGTAAATGTTTGGTAAATTAGCATAGTTGGGAATTTGGTGGTTAGTACATTATTTAGTGCAAGATATGCTTGGGAATGTTACCAACCAATGATAAAAAATGTCTGAAATTCAGGATTGCTGATTGGTAACTGGGTGATCTATAAACAGTGCATGCTTGATATGGTTACAACACTGTGGCTTACCATCAATCCAAATCAATTTCAAACACTGTCCAACTACTGCTTTGGTGAATGTCATCATCTTTCTAGTTCTCAGGGAAAATCATGTACTCAATGCCAGGACTGGACATGAAACTTACTGAGCGATTTTAAAAGAACTAAGTTGTATATGATTATATGGATGTATATGGTGGAATAAAAGCATCCATTTTTTGAGTCGCTTCCGAATTCTGATCTGCAGCCTGTAGAATTTTCTGAATATATTTTGCCATCAAATATGGGGGCTCCGTACCAAAACTGACCGGTGGCGCACGAACCAGGTGTCCCCACAGTCTGGGAAGGCACTGCAGTAGTTTGGAAACCTTCCGTTAGCCAGTTCGCCGGCTGGGTCCATGGCTGAACCGATTGGGTTTACCCCGTTTACCCTTTTGTAATTTCTCACATAGCACTGGAAAACGATCATCTATGGATAAATATGGATCAATCATCTATTTAATTTATTTCTATGGGCTATGTCCAGTAGCAAACTGTTAAATTACCAGAAGGTTGATCTTTAGTTAACTAAGTGATGGCACCAATATATTAATTATATCTCCCATCCTACTGAACTAAACCAACTTGGCTAACAAAGTGTATACAATAACTAGGATGAATATGGTAGAAAAAAATCGAACTACCCTCTGGTAATCCAAGCTTGGCAATGGAAAATCACCCAATTATAGATCATTTTTTAACTATTTCAATCAAATTTAGTGGATTGATCACCGGAGGTTTGATGGGGAAATCAACAAACAGTTCTCCCCGGCCACTCCCATGCCGCCCGGCCAGCAGTTCAAGGGTGAGGCGAAGCACTCCGCCTAACCAGCAAGTTGTTTAGGCAACCATAACATACCACAACATATAATTGCATAGGTTTGACCGATATAGAGCATCATGAACAATCATATAGTGCTTATTATATCCATAACCAGCAAAATCATGGGTGTCACCATATATATATATATAATATATATATATATATATATGTATATATATAGTGTTTATCATATCCATAATCAACAATATCATGGGGGTCACATGAAAAAAACATATAGTGCTTATTACATCCATAATCAGCAATAATATGGGTGTCACTTGAACGCAAAATCATATGATATCATTTAATCATTGTTCCAGCACCTATATTATTCATGACCCCACGTCTCTATCTCTATCTCTATATATGTAAACTTACGGGTGCTTCGTAGGGAATGGATGGGAATGGGGGTTGCTGGGATTTTTATTGATTGTAATTGTGGATCATTCCCTCATTCCCTACTAAGCACAAGTAAGAAGAACCTTAAAACCGAAAAACACACAATAAACATCAATAAACCCTTAAATTAACCACGAAAAACTCCTAAACACACCTTAAACAAACCCTAGATGATAGAGAGATAGACACATGTAATGATTCTGGCACCGGCCACATGTGTTGGATAGTGCCGGCCATCCCGCCAGATTAAGACGGAGCAAAGGAACGCGAATCATTCTTGTGGCACCATGCTCCTGTTGTGACATCTAAACCTTGCTATATATGATCTACATATATATATATATATATATGTAAATAAAAATAAATAAATAAATAAATAAATAAATATTGAAAAATATCCACATGTACAAATGAAAAAAGAAATATATATAAATATCTATATATATAATAATATATATATATATATATACATATATATATATATATATGTATATATATATATACTGTATATATATATATATGCACTCAATATTTATAGCAAACGTTTCTTCGATCATTCGGGTCTGTCCAAAGATAGGAATACCATGGGATACCCATAAAACGGCAGTTTTTCATGCGAAATAAACATTGATAGTCCATTGGATCTTAGGCTTGCCCCGTTTTCAAACACATCTGAAAATAGGGTGCCAGGAAATTTGGATGGTTTAAAGCAACAATTTTCCCAGCCAACAAAAAAAAACACAAGTTGGGGTATTCCTCGTTTTTTCGAACAAACCTATTACTATCATTATTGGTTATCATGTGTATACCCCAATTTTTCTATTATGGCTGTATTGGGAATATCATTGACTTTTGGCTATATATATAAATAAATATATATATATATATATCAAATGTATATATATATATCAAATGTATATATATATATATATCAAATGTATAGATATATATATATATATATATACATATCCCACCATATCCCCACTATGTTTGAATATATTCAAAATTAAAAAAATATCTTATTGTCTCCCACTATCTCCACATTGGTGCAACATATATCTCCCCATTTTGGAATTTTGGCTTGCACCCCGAAGTCTTCCTCCAAGACCTTCCAGGCCGGTGGCGGCAGGGCCAGCTGGAAGCCCACGCCCCCGAGGCTCTGATAGCGCAAGGCCAAGACCTCTGGAGAGAGACGCTGGATGTGCAAGGATTCTCGGCAAGAAAATATAGATGTATAGTATATTATATATAAATGATATATACTTGAAGGCTCATTGTGGGTTAAAAACTAGATAGGTTATATACTAAGTAGTTAGCTATAGATACTATCTAGTCAGCTCACTTAGCTATATCAAACTTAGCGGACTTAGTATATGAGCTAAGTATGGGCATATACTGTATATACTTCTAAAATAATAAATATGTATATATACATATATATATATATATTATATTCTGCCGCTACAGGCCCCATGCAAGGGATGGCAGTGACCAGCCGCCAGCTCCACAGCACCTGCGCGTGGGAAGATTGCTGAATAATTTCCCTGGGTGTTCCCCTATTATTTTGGAAAAACATGCGTGGTGGATGATACACGAATGATTTGTTTATATCTCCCTTACCGGGCCATTATGTGCTCGTGAGCAGGGAAATGAATAGGATACAAATCTAATACTTTTCATGAAATAACCATGATATATGATAAACATGATACTTGTATATGGATAACATGAACCAAGGCACAGGGCATTACAATATGGATATATAACATGAACCAAGGTACAGGGCACACAATGCTCGTGAGCAGCAGCAGCAGCAGCAGCAGCAACCTGTTTACCTTTCTTCACCGTCGGACTACCATAGTATTGTCATTTTTCAAGTTGTACATGCAGCAATGGACAACAGAACTCAACAGAATCACAGCTGGATCATGTTTAACTTTGAGCATGATGCCATGCACCCGGTTCCAGGGACACAAGACAGTCAAAAACGTGGAAACGTGGATCCATGTCTCACGTGGTACATCACCCGGCCCACTGAAGATGATCCATCACCCTGAAGATACTCCACAACACCATGCTTATGCACGACATGGCTTCCAGGGCCTTGAGCACGAATGGATGTGAAACATTCAGAGCTTCCCAAAAATTCACTGAGCCAATCCATCTTGCCTTTGGCAACTTTCTTCTCCTTGAAGAGCGACAAGCCAAGAACCACAGCCTCTTCACAAAGTCACGTACTTGAACATGAATGATGTCGCTGAGGATGGATTTTTCAAAGCTCTGAGTGAAATTGTTGATTGGATTTCCAAATCTCTTGCTTGCGTTCATGGGCAATGCATGATAGCAACGTCCCATGACGCCTGAGGAACTAACCAAGATAAAGTGCCATATGGCACTTTGGGACCCAAAACTCGTCCCCGTGGAGTGCCAAGGAGATCAGTCCATGAACAAGATCAGTGCAGTGAGATGATCGAGAACTTCACACAATCTGAGAGATGTCTTGCATGCAGACAAAGTGCTTGATGAAGACCCTAATGGTCCCATATGCACTGAGCAGCTCACTGGCTGAGCACTTCAGTGGCTCCACTGATGTGTCCCGTTTCCCAAGGATCTTGTTAGGCTTCCAGCCCTGAAATTGCTTGGGCCGCTCAAATGACGCCAGAAAAGTTTCTAGCCGGGTTGAAAGCCCAACCCCTTTGAGAGCTGCCCACAGCAAAGCAAACTCACGATTGGCAATCCCATGCACCAGAAAGACGTGGAACCAATCGAACGTGATGCTTTCAGGGATCACCAGGCCGTAAGTTGGGTTCCGGAGGAGGCCTGAAGGTTTCCAGTTGTAGCCCAGCTGGGTCTCAAGTTGGGAGAACTGCACACTTGACATCCTCTCATGCTGTTCCTCCAAGCACTTCACGACCTTCTGCACAGATTCATTGGTGTGCAGCCTGACCTGGGAAACATCAGTGCATGCCCCATGCACAAGACCACTTCTTTGCTAATCTTACCTGGGTTGCAAAAAAATATATTTTTACTCTGTATATCATCAAATTACAAATTAATCCTAATCCTCCACAATCACTCACGCCTTGGCTGAGCTGGTAGCCTGGCGTCCAAATCCAACAGCGATGCTCGGCACAACTTTCTTGGAATGCTCGGTCCAAATTCAACCAAGAACCAGGATGCCTTTTTCCCCACTTGCAACTGGTGGCAACGATACCTCGCTCATGTTCTTGTCTACTTGCAAAATAGATGCGCTTATGCCGCATGTCTTGTGAATGAGCTATCCTGCTACTTTTAGAAATGGAAGGTTGGATAGCTACTTTGATTTGATTTTTGAGCGAAGTAGGTGCAATTACCGCAAAGATTCAGGCGAAGGAATTTGCGAGCAACACGCACAAGAACCTCAGCATTTGCCAAGAACCAGTTTCTTGCGAAGTTTTGTGATGCACAATGCCTCCTGCAACCTGCAATAATAAACAAGGATCGGTTCCAAAGAACAATCAAAAAACATGCGTCCTCACGCTGCGATATTTGGAAATCTAATCATGCGGCCGGACACGTTCTACTCGTACAATAGGCCCAAAAAGTAAACTTCAAATGGCAGAAATGCAACCTGTTGAGAAGTGACTGTACAGACTCTAAAAGGCTGTGACAACTATTTAACTATTAACTATTGCAGTATAGATGTATTTCTCGATGGTTGATGGCTGTAGAAATCACAGGAAAAGCACTGGCGTATTTTATTTATAAGGAAACTAGTTGCCGACCTCCCGGCCCCCATGCTTTTCCTGCTTAGGCCCTTGCCTAGCGAAGCCAGGCGCAGCTCCTGAGCAGCACCAAAAACCCAAAAATGTCACTCGAAAGCTTTTCTGATGATCTGATGAACATTCCAGCATCGCAGGCTTGCCAGCTCTTTTTTTCCGTCAAAGCACCAGGATGCAAACCCCAGGTCAACCCTTGTGCTCCCCAAAAACAGAGGAGAGGCGGCGGAAGAGCCCCTCGAAATCCAAACAGCGAGCAGCTGTGTCTTTGGTGGATTCAGAGTCCGTGTCTGCACAGATTTGATACGACAGCCTTGGCTTCTGCAACTTCTCGGGCAAGGTGCCCTGGGCAACAACAAGTTTTTTGCTGCTTGAATTGGAATGTCGAGCCGCCTCACGCAACAGCACCTTGGTTAACCTCACCGTAGGTGGCGGCAAACTGAGGCGTAAGCCAAAGATACAAGTGGAACAGCAAAGCGGGTTCAAAAGCTAAGCACTGTCCAGAAGAAGCATTGGAATGTACCCAGTCTGCATCTGCCAGTCTGAGGCCATAAAGCCGCCAGCAAGGACTGTTTGGTGTACAGTGCTTCTTTCACATCTTCCACCGCCAAAACATCTGCTAACCGGACTTTGTCCACACGCCTGAATCTGTCAGGCAGTTTCTCGATTTTGCAGTCAACAAAAAATTTGACCCCCGCCCCAGGCAAGCGCGGTGCTGCTTTGGATTGTTGATCTGCTTGGATGTGCAGCTGTTTGTACAAACCGCCACGAGCATCTACATACGTAGGCTTGGCCCCAGGCTTGGCTTCCTTCGCCATTCGCAGCTGCACTTCATTGACCTGTGCCTGCTGAGCAACAACCTCTGCAATCTTGGGCCGTTTGGCGGCGGCAGCCTCCAACCCAAGCGCCTGGGCCCTCCTCTCTTTCGTTTCGTTTCTGTCGATGCTTCGCCCCTGACTCTACGGCGGCGAGAAGACTCCACATCACGGATGGTCTCGACCATTGCCCCGACAATGTCTTTCTTGGCCTCCGAAGATCCGCACGCAGCAACCGCCAAGTCCACAGACTTGCTGTGGTTTTGCAACACTGCCTTCATAGATGTGGAGCTGCGCTCCGCTGTGCGGACATTTCCCAAAGCTGGTCGCGAAAGGTCTCCAGGCCCTCCTCGACGAGCAGGTGCGTCCTTCTCCCCGTACCATTCCCGATACAAGGCGGCTGCTGCCAAACGAAAGCGGCTGGCCTTGACCTCTTGTGGCTTTCCGTCAAGTAAGCTATCAGGATTGAACTGGCAACCTGTCCGGTGACCAGTGCTGCTTTGCACATTCAACTTCACGGCGCGCTCCAAATTGTATATGTGCAACTGGTTGGCCCTTTTTTTCATCTCTTGGAAGGCCACCTGGTTGAGCCAACGTTCAACAGAAGCAGTTCCAGTCAGCACGCCTGCCATGGATTTTGGAAATGCGACAAAACCCTCACGTTTTTGCTCACTCTTGACAAGGTGCACAATCCCTTGCGCCTGCCACGCGAAACAACATCTGAACCTCTGACCCGAACATGGTGTGCTTTGTACATTTTGACTTCGAAATGTGCTTCGCGCCACAATGGTGTGCACTTTTTCGACAGCTTAACTTCCAAAAGTGTTCCAAACGCGGTGTGTGTTGTCGAAGTGTGCTTCGCGCCAGAACGGTGTGCACTGTTTCGACATCTCAACTCTTAAAAGTGCTCCGAAGCTGAGGTGCTTTGTACATTTTGACTTCGAAATGTGCTTCGCGCCACAACGGCGTGTCTCATCTGGCCAGATGGCTCCGCACCCGCCGCTTTAGCGAGCTTACTCTTCGACCCTCCGGAGCCACAAATCAGTGGAAAAACACAGTGTTTCGCGTCTTTCCTACCTTTTCGCGCATCTTCTTTCTTCTGACTCTTTCTCTTCCATCATCTTCTCTCTTCTACTCTTCTCTTCTCTCTGCCTCTTCCCGTCTCTGCTTTTCATCTGTCCATATTGTCGGAAGTTAGACTTCTAAACTTCCTTCGACCATACATATGTCAATTGCCAAGCAACGTGTCTGGGCCTGACTGAGGATGAGCTCTTGGGTCTGCAGCGGCAAAGTGAGAAGGGAGTCTGCAGTCGCCGTGGGCAAGACCAAGTCGGGCCACAGTTCACTGGCACGGCTCCCCGGAGGTTCTTCTGACTCTTCAGCAACTAGCTCGGGCTTCTCAGTCATTTCCTCCGGCGCCACCTTCTGTGGTGTTGTCACCGACATCACTGATGCTGCCGGTGTTGCTGGTGCTTCTGTGGCCGGCACCTCGGAAGCTGCTGGTGGGTCTGCAGGCGGGTTCTCCGAGTGCCAAGCCCCCATGATGACTTCGAAATTGAGGAAATCCTGTTTGGCAAGCTCAGGCAACTGAATCAGCGCTTCTGCACTTGCGTTCGGGTCCGATGCAAGCTGCTTCAGCAGGAAGCTGTCTGCCGATCCGTCAAAGAGCAAAGAAAGCGAACTGATCGCCATCTCCTCACTCTCCTTGATTGAGCCCCTTGAAACTTCTGACCCGGAGTCTATGCCCTGCAAGGCTTTGCCCTTTGGAAAATGGCAATGCCAGCTCTTGAACGATTTGAAGATCTGCCCAGTGGTGGCAGAGTCTGTTTTGAATGCCATATAGGCTGCCACTCGTCTCAAAGCAAGCAGAATTGGAATGACTTCTCGCTTCAGGCGCTCACCGGACACTGTTGGTTGCAGCGCTCCACGACAAAGCCTGACCAGGACGCCTTCCGCCACCCATGCCTGGCAGCATATTTGCTTGAAAAGAACCGCTCTTTTAATTTAATTACATCTTTGATCTGAAAAACGCACTAGTAAGGGACGATGCGCAAGCAACTTGTGCTGCAGCGCGCCATTCTTGCAGGATGTCTTCTGGCAAAGCAGCATCCAAATTGACAATGGTTGCCAGCGGGTGTCTCTTGCCATAGAGGCTCTCGAGCTCGTCCAAGGAGTTGATGATGTCCTGTTTTGCCGTGACCCGGCTGGGTGCCGCTTCTGAGAACTTGATGGCACCAGGTTGCCACTGCTTCCGCTGTGTTGGCCTTGTCAAATTCCTGCACCAAGCTCTTCTCAGTGGCACGGACACGCCCCGGAAGCCAAGCCAAGCCAAGCCAACGTTGGTGGACAATAACGGACAAGTCCCAGCACCTATTGTCCAAGAAATCGTCTATTGTCCGTTGACTAGCAGAGACAATAAGCAAAAACGTAATCTCACTATTGTCCACCAACGTTGGTGGACAATAACGGGCACCTAGGATTTTCATAGTCTAATTATTGTCAAAACGCAGTTGTGTGTGTGTGAACTGCTTCAGCTTTCCAGCCTGCTCCAACATCCGTCGCATGCTCAACCACTATGGTTTTCACAAGTGGCCTGGCAAACGGTTTTGACGAGGAGAAAAAGACACGTCAGGTCACAACCGGAACTGCTGAACTCTTCAAGCTGTGGACATCATCTCGCATTCTACCTGGCATATGTTCTGGCATATCTTCTGGCACTCTATCTGGCATATTATCTTCTGGCATATCTCCTGACATTCTATCTGGCATTCTATCTGGCAAATCTTCTGGCGTTTTATCTGGCAACCATTCCGGCACTTTATCTGACATACCTTCTAGCATTCTATCTGACATTCTATCTTGAAAATGAATGGAAACTCGATCGAAAAGCAAACCCTCCAGCGACTCTGTTGTTTCATTCCCAAGACTCCATACACTAATATGACTCTCAGTATCATGTATACTCATGTGATAAAACACCTCCGTAAGAGATGGCTTACCAGCCTGCTGCCCCATTCGTCGCATGCTCGACCACTGTGATTTTCACAAGTGACCTGGCAAGCGGTTTTGGCAAGGCAAATTACTTTACTTCGAGTGATCTCCACCATGACATTAATACGTTTTGTTACTGGCAAATCTTCTGGCATTCTATCTGACATATCTTCTGGCATTCGATCTGGCATTCTATCTGGCATATCTTCTGGCATTCTACCTGGCATATCTTCTGGCATCTGTTCTGGCATATCTTCTGGCATTCTATCTGGCATTCTATCTTGCATATCTTCTGCCATATCTTCTGACATCCTATCTGGCATTCTATCTGGCATATCTTCTGGCATTCTATCTGGCAAACATTCTAGCACTTTATCTGTTATACCTTCTGGCAGTCTAGCTGACATTCTATCTGGCATATCTTCTGGCCCATGTTCTGGCATATCTTCTGGCACTCTATCTTGCATATCTTCTGGCATATCTTCTGACATTCTATCTGGCATTCTATCTGGCAAATCTTCTGGCGTTCTATCTGGCAAACATTCTGGCACTTTATCTGAGGCGTACCAAGGAAAGCGACATCTGATCATTTCAACATGTTCACTAAAAATGGCAAACAATTCCATGACTATTAATCTGGGTCATTGTAAAATAAATAATATAAAATGTAAAAACAAAGTCCAGCAACCAAACTCAAAGTTCCTTGTTTTCTTCTGACTTCTTGAGGTACTGCGGATCAGCCACTGTGCAAGTCTCGAATACCTATACGCTCCCGAAATATATAGGTGGTTTTATGCTCTAAATAACCAACCATGTGGTTGTGTCTGAGAGTTGGGTATACCGGTATACCCCCAAAATGGGTCAAACATGTAAACTCGTTAAGGGAACAGTATTGTTAAACAGCAAACACAGCTGATTTTGGGGTCCAGTCCCCTATTCTCATGTAAACCCATTTCTGGGTACCCAAACGACTTGACTACCCAACAAGCACCCTGCTGGCCATGGGGGACAATCTCAATTGCTGCACTCCGGTCCTCCTGAGCACTGCTCAGCGGTTGATACTTCTAGTAGTCATAGATAGTTGATGATAGTTAGATATAGTTATGGTATGGGGGTGTATAGGTTCATACTTTTGACATCTTTTGACATCTTTTGACATCTTTTGAATCGTTATTTATGCTATGGTTTAAGAAGGAAAACATCATCCAATCTGGAAACCCTCATGCAACCAAACGGTACGAAGGCAGCGCGCTCAGCACAAGCGTCCTCTCGGGCTAAAACACCTCCTCGAAGAATCAGCTGATCCTGAACCATCCCCAATGAAAACCATAAATGGGCATTAATAAACCATCAAACTATGGTTGGTTAAAACTATTGGCTTCACTAACATGATCTTACAAAATTTGCTGCATTTCATCCGCAATTTGACGTCATGATATTTTATGATTGCTATATAGCATGAATTTCATATCAGACGTCGCCGTCCTCCAGTGCTTGGTTAAACACCAACTCTGAGTTGTCCTGAACTTCCACGGCGATGGCGCTCACACGTCACAATGTCGTCCAGGAGCTGGTGGACGTCAACACCGTTGATGCCACTCCCGTCCCTGCTTAGGGGGTGGCATCCAACATGCCGGTTGTGGATCACCAGCTTGTACAAGTGGCCACTTGCCTCCAACTCCTTCAAAGCCGCATGAACGCTTTTCACAAAGCGCTCGCCTTCCTCTGCCTCTCTGATGATGCCCTTCACCTTCTGCACCACTTCGTCAGGGATCGCCATGGGATGAGATTTCCCTTCACGTTTGCAGCTACTTGAAGCTGGAAAAATATAATATAATATATACATGTGTTGTAAAATTTCAAGCATATCATGAACCCAAGCAATTCACACATGAACATGACCCATGCATGAAAACGGACTGGATGGCAGTTGAATTTACACTATATATGGGAGAACAACAAATATGTATATAATATATATTTTACATAGATCATGGCTTCGACATCTCATAAAACATATACATGCATGATATATATTTTATCTTTGCGCCCTTCACGTCGAGCAAGTTGCCCTCACACGGAGACTATGTATGAACAACCATGCATGGAAAAAAACACATTACATCCACGACACCTTAAAACGCATTCATTAAAAAATCCCTCAGCCTCCACACCACTGGCGCAGCAGGTGAGGGGGATGGCACCTCTGCTGTAGAAGCTGGCGACCGGTCACCTGATTTGCCTCCCTTGCCGAGGCTTCGGCCAGTTGACAGATGGTAAAACAAACAAGGTTGTGTTCATACGCTGGGAATGGGTTTCTTGTTTTATCTGAGGTTATATATATATAACATAATAGTCAACTTAGAGTTTAAAAATTCATAAGCCGGGTATCTAGATTCGCAAAACAGCTAATCAAATACACAGCATACTATCTGAATAGCACCAGTTAGTAAGTTGGTCAAATCGGTCAAATCATATATGCCACATAGATCACTTATAACCCATATAGCCAAGATATAACCCTATAGTTAAAACCAGTCTTAGCACAAATAGTAAATGCCATATCTGTGCTATCCATTTACTAAACAGGGTGGACCTTCAAGTATATAAATATATATATATATAATATGATAAGTAAATAAATAAATGTATATATATATATGATATGTAAATACCAGTATGTGTATATATATATATATATGTGCTTTTAATATTTGGAAGGGTTGGCTTGGAAAGATTGGGAAAATATATTCTGTGTTTTGGTTGTGGAAGCATTGTAACTCCTATGGAACCAGGTCGCAAAAACATTGCGGACAAAAGCCATGAACCAATCAGGAGTCAGGCGGTCAGGTGGTCAGGTGGTCAGGCTTCCGCATCCCAAGGCGTTTGCTTAGCACCGAGTTTTTGAACCCAAAGAAATGATACTCTTGTTGTGTTGGCCGATGTTAACCATTTCCTATGAGCTGTGTCGATGTTATCAATGTTATTTCATGTTACAGTATTTCTTCCCGCTATTTAAAGCCTTACAGGCGGCACTCAAACAAAACATGCAATTCGCGACAGCAGCTCACATCCGAGCGGAATTTCTTGCCGTCTAAAAAAGAGCTGGAACAATAGGGGCAAGCTTGTACATATATCTGGGTAAATTATAATATTTCACCTGAATTAAGGCCCATTTTGGGGTGATTCCCCTTACTAACCATGATTCCAGTGAGGTCGCAGTGAGGTCGTTATAATTTACACAGATATATGGACCAAACATTGATAGGATTGACAGGGACAAGGTGGATGCCTAGAGCTACCTGACACCGTAACCCAAAGGAAGAGCCTAACGTATTGTTGATAATCGAAGTGCTAATGCCCGGCAACGCCTCAGAGATTAAAATCTTTCAGGTAGCGATGACGCCGATGTATTAGCCGTCCAAAACCCATATCTTCGCTAAAAAGGGGAGAAACAAATCCCAACCTTGAGATACCGTCAATCAAAACAATGGACCATGGGGTAAAAGCAGTGATTGGCAATGTTCCACTGCACCAGTACGCTTTGCGCATAAACCGGTGAATGGCGCGCAATGCGGAGAGCTAACAGCTTTAGATACAGGTGAGTTTGAGACATCTACGCGACAACTGCGGTTCGATGTGTCATCCATTGACTGAATTTGGGATATTGTTGTTCGAGCGCATCCCAAATGCGATTGGGAACGAAAGCGCCAGAGTTGAGCAAGTTCAGGAAACATCGCTCCAACTCCCCTACTACCAATGTAGTTAGACAAGTCCGACGGCACAAAACAGGAGCAGGAGCTTTGCCCCTTATCCTACTGCTGGGTGGGCAAGTGCATTTACGAATTGTGGAGACTTTAAGTTTAGATAGAGCGCGGTCAACAATCTGATCATGATCCGGTGGCTGGGCCAACAAGTTCCTATTGACAAAAGACTTGACCAAATGAATTTGCACAGCTAGAATACAGTTGACATCACACAAACTATGATCAGAATGTTGTTGAAACTGTTGTTGGCATAAACTCTTAGCTAATGCGTTAGCTCTTTCGTTGCCTTCAGTTAACCCACTACTTCCAAGAACAAAGTTAAACGTTGTCGTCCAAGTAAAACCATGACTTTACTTAAAGACACTCATTGACTGCTGATATATATATATATAGTCAAAAAAGGGTGACCTTTCCCCTGAGCCTAATCGAATCCGTAAATCAATCCTCAAAAAATAAAAATATGTGGTTTCCATGCTCAAGTTTTTGATTGGTTTTCACGGGTTTTTCACTGTCTTTTCACGGGTTTTTCACGGTCGTTTCACGCACTTTTCACGCTCTGGGTTTGGAGTGGGATTTGTTTGAAACTCTGGAGTCCGGTATATATTTATACTAGTACTCATTGGGTCTGATAATGCCCAGTAAACACATGTCGCTTCCAAAGACAAAGTTAAACTTTGTCGTGGTGAAAGCCCCAGTTAAACTTTGTCGAAGACTGAGTGGGTAAACTAGTGTCTTGACTTCGGTCACGTCCATCAGCTGATACTTTAGATAAATGTACCGCCCGCTGGTTTAAACTTGTTTCAGCGGCTTTGAGTGTCCACAAGTCAAAATGCTCCCAAGATCGCAAAAAAAAAAAACTTCTGCATGACGACTTTGTTCACGAAATATGTTGACATATTTTGACTATGGTTGCGCCATCGGTAAAAATATGGGCGTCTCCGTCTGTTCCCTAAAAAAAGCCAGATAAACGATCGCTCCCAGCTCGGCACGATATGTGAACTTTGTGAATTTCATATTATTTCTATATTTAGATTTAGATATATAATAATGTTATGACCAATGACTGATATTTCATGTTTTTTCTATATTTAGATTCAGATAATAATGACAATCATCCATCAAAATATACGTGGTGAAAAGGACAGGTCTGATGGACGGAGCTGTGATGCCTGATCCAGTGGAATCTTCTACTCACATGTTGATTCATCAAATTTTAAACAAAAAAAGGCCTGATTTACATGTAGCTCAAATGATTGCGCATTTCTCTTACTTTTTGTCTGCGGTGATTCCAAACCCCAGCACATTTCAGTAAATGAAATTAGTAAGAATATATAAGAATATAAAATAATATTACATTGATATGTCAGTAAATATGATGTACATATTCATCCCTTTTTCTTCTGCATTTCAGTGAGAACAAGGAACAAGTCCACCATGCCGAGGCTCCAATGCAGCTTGATGAAACGAAGCCAGGGCGGCTTCATTAGCAAGCTCCTGGGAAACCATAGCCATGGGCATGTAGGGGATACCCCTTTATCGCTGGATGGGGAAAAATTCATGAAAATCCATTTTTTTATAAATGGTTGATGACTAGGGGTACTCCTATGACTCAGGAAACCTCCTAATAATATGATATACAATTATTGTAATTACATAAAATGAAAGCACTGGTGTTGTTTGAATGAGTTCAACAAGTCCGATATCATAACAGTTGAATCAACAAACAGAATTCATTACAAGATGAAGACAAACATGATCTGTACCCGCAGGTCCCTGGCCTTTGGGAATCATTTTGGGGCAACTTACCCACAACAATCCCACAACATTATCATTTACAAAGACAATTGAGCCACATATATGATATATTTATGATATATCATGATATTAAAGTGTGGCGAACCCCAGTCACATATATGTTCTTTTAATATGTATTAACTTACTAAGTGCCAGGGGCGTACAAGACCTTCGTTTTGTGGGTACTTCCAGCCTTAGCGACCACCATTTGGCTACGCAGGATCATTTCAATCAGGGCGGAGCCAGAAACCCTCGAACCATGGGTTTGCTTCTTCATAAATGGTGGGAGAATGGGTGTTATTTTTTATGGTGGTTTACAGTAATAGGATCCAATGGGAATTTTAATGGCATCTGGTTGGTGGTTTCAACCTACCCCTCTGAAAAATATTTTCCTTCATCAGTTGGGACTATGAAATTCCCAATATATGGAAAAATAATCCAAATGCTCCAAACCACCAACCAGTAACGACTCGAATTTGGATGAAGACCTTGGGGTCCCAACCTGAACAACCCTCCAGTTCTGGACCCAAAAACGTTTTTTGGTTGTCACAAGAACCACGCTGTGGAGATCTCCTTCGCACTATTGAGCTGATAAAGCCTCAGCTGATGGTTGAGCCACCGTTGGGGATGGAGAGCAACAAGACAATGCGAGCAGCCTTTTCTCGGACTTCTGTTACACCTGGAGAGTGATCTTGAATCTTAAGTATGTAATCAGTGCCAACCCTGGAGCAAAAAACCTTTTGAAGTCAAAGGAGGAGTTTGTTACCAAGATCAACAGTGCAGGTTTACAATCCAGCTGCTTCCGGTCCCTTGATGCTCTGCAGTCATTTGCGATGCAACATTGACACTCCAAGCCGCAAAAAACCAAGTGACTGTTGCAACTTCTTGTACGCTGGCAAACTCAATCTGGCTGATACTTCCTTGGATCTTCAAAATTGGGGCCCCAAAACAATCAGTCCAACACAATCCTACAATGTGAGGCCCCCAAGATATAAGTTGGTTTATAAGCCCCAGTAACTATAGTTATAAATACCATAAACCATAGTTATTGGAGTTATGTCCACCAACTTAGCTATCTTGGGGGCCTCACATTGTATTCATAGACTGTCTATGACACCAGGTCTGGTTGAGTCATCGGCCAAAAAAAACATACAGGGAACAAAAAAAGAAAGAACGGCTACACAGACCAGCCAGATTCCCTGTAGATACCCCAGATTCTGGTGGATTTTCCAGCGACAACAATAACTACCCTCCAGTAAACAAACATAGGCTATGGAAAATCAGCCATTTAGTTTGAAGGATTGCCGATTTATTTTTAATGGTGGATTATTTTCCAGTTCACTATGCAACTTAAATTAGCAATCCAACCCAGGCTTCTTGGCAAGATAGAAGCACTTCCTCTCCATCCAAATGTTGCACCTGAATCAATCTGCGGATCCCAGTCGTCGGGGTATGTCGGGGTTTTGAATGCAGAAATGTTACAGTCCATACCATCCAATTCATGCATCACATATCACTGAAAATATTTATTTAAGCATACATCATGAGTGGGTGATTTTTTCGGGCGGAATAAATGTGGCTAGACAATGGTAAACCCAGCATACTTGGATTTTCCATGATTTTCCTTCCTTGTACAAAGATCTCAATGGATCGGCTGAATGGCCAGGGTTAGGGTCGGCTTCCAGCATGCTGCACGGTGGTACCATGCCAATGAACATGTACAGCAACCAATGGTATCACCATATGAAGAATAGCCACATGGTACGTAATGTACATGGCTTCCGTAAAACAATATATGGCAAAATGGTCCAGAACGGTAGCTTTCTGTTCATATTATCTGGAGCTACAAGGGCGTCATCACACCATCATGGGGAATACAATTTATGGATGTTCAAAAAAAGGAATGACCATTCCGGACCATTCCCATAAAATGGGAAAGTCTAAAGTGTGTAACTTCACCGCACATTGATATGGGGGATCAAAACCTATATGAAATCACCGGGAAAACGTCCCGGAAAGCCCCAGCATTCCCAGCGATGTTTGTTTGATATTCCCGTGGATTCTACAGTTATGGCCATTTATTAGTTATAACTGGTTATAAATGGGATTATACATTCTATAAATATCTATAAATGGGGTTTTGTTAGTACTTATAGCTGGTATTTCGGGCCAGAACTGTATGAGATTTTGAACCCACTCGGCCACTCGGCTTTCCCCCGGGCAAAACCCCCAGGCCTCCACCAACAGTGGAGCTTCGGAACCTTTCAGCTTCACCAAATTGCGAGCCGCCGCGGAGGAAGATGAGTGGAGACGCCTAAAACCCGACCGGTCGGTTCCACGGTTCGCGGTTTTCCCATCGATACCGTGGATACCGTGGATGGAAAATCCTGCACCAGTGGATGGTAAACATCCCATTATTAGCTGGTTGGTGGTTGACCTACCCTGAAAAATATGAGTTCGTCAATGGGAAGGATTCTTCCCAATATATGGGAAAATAATCCAAGTGTTCCAGACCACCAACCACTTAGGGTTCCAACCATCCAAGGTGCAGGACGCAGTGCAGGATTTCTTCCATCCCCAGTATTATGGCAAAACAAATCACTAAATAAGTGGGGTGATCCTCTGCACAAACACTTGTTTTAGGCGCGAACTTCATGTGTGATCAGGCTCGACATTTCGACTGCCATAAGGGACTGCCATAAGGGCCATACGACGTGGGACGATTGGAGGAGATACAGTCTGAATGCTTGGAGAATGGGTTGTACATAGCGAAGAGGCACCCAGACCCCAAAGAACAGATGGGACAGGACCCCCAGCAACTACAGTAAGACCAGTAAGCATGTACACTCACCTCAGGAACCGTACCAAAACTGCGGAAAGTTCGAATGACCAACCTTGCATAAACTCATTTCGAATGACCAATGGTATGCTTTGGGATGGGAAAATATTTTGGATCTATGGACACTTTTGTACCCTTGTGGCATCCCAAGGGTTATTGCATATCGGGGATGAACAGCATACACTTGGCTCATACATGAGCTTCCCTGGACAGACTGACCCTCAAAGTTATCATCAAGAAAATGGCCGGTGAAGTACACTTTGTTTCTGGGTGTACTGTGAGGCTTTTCTTGGTTGTACAATCTTATCCGTCTGCACCTATTAACAATTGATAAGCATTGGATAACCATTGAATGTTATTGATATCTTATTGGAAACAATGTTATTGATATCCAATGGTTAACCATTGATCTGCATCTATTAACCATATTGGTTGATAATATCTGGGTAAATTACAATATTTCACTAACCTGAATTGAGGCCATTTGGGGATGATTTCCCTTATTAACCATGATTTCCAGTGAGGTCGCAGTGAGGTCGTTATAATTTACCCAGATAATATAGAATTCACATCTTTCAATGTGTTATCCAATGGATATCCAATGATCTCTCCAGCGATCTCCAAAAAACATCCACCGATCTATCTGGGTGATTTGTTACCAATTCCCCAGGAAAACAATAGGATTACCAACATATACCAACACATATAGAAAAACAATCATAAGTTTAACTTCAATAAGAAAAAATACATAAATGTGCGACATAATTCCCAAAACAAAACACCTTTTTTTGGAACCCAACAGTTCTGTTTGACTCCACTCCCATCATCCAACCGTTGCGTCGTGTCGTGTGCCATGCACCTGATCATCTCTTTGGCCTCGGCGGGCGAAAAATCCACCTGCTCCAGGTCCGCCAGCAGCGCCGGGTCCTGTGGATGTGGGAAATCTACAGGGAAAGCCACAGTTTTAAGTGGTAAATGTGGTAAGTACCACATGAAAGATGGCTGGATTTCTTTGAGTGTTTTGACCTTGGAAGCAGAGAATGCCTGAAAATTGGGAAAGGTTGGATGATTTGTTGTTATTTTCCAGTAACCAACCTATTTAACAATCCAGAATTATGTTCGGATATGTTTGATATTCAGCCTTACTTTTAGGAGTACCAAGTTGCGAGCAATACCCGAGTCAACCATTGTTTCCGAATTTGTGGGACTCCAATATTCACTGAGTTGGTTTAGGAGTAAATCTACCGGAAACAATGGTGGTTTTTCCCATGAAAAAAAGGGGGTCCTGTGATTTTTCCCTTCCAATCCATTGAAATATCAATGATCCGTTCCCCTTGAGCCACGCTCACATTGCGTGTCTGTTAAAATTCCACAAGGAAGCACCGGGGGTTGCAGTTCCATTTGACAGAAAGCGAGTTGTGACATTTAAATGCCTCAAGGATGTTATATATATATATGAGTGGCGGACAAAATGACTTACTACTCACTACTCGCAATGGACATGGCCAAAGTGGGTGATCCCTTATCGGTTGTGAAGGTTTGTACTTCCATGCTATGTGTAAAAATTGGGTATCGGTAAGTGGGTGGTCCCCTATCGGTTGTGAAGGTTGTCACACAAATTTGAACATCCCAAGTCCACTCCCTACTACTTTAGTTTTCCGCTAATCTTGTCGGTCTCTTATATATTTATCATGTATATATATATATATACATACATACATACATACATACATTACATAACATTACATAACATTACATAACATTACATAACATTACATAACATTACATAACATTACATAACATTACATAACATTACATAACATTACATTACGTTACATTACGTTACATTACGTTACATTACGTTACATTACATTACATTTCATTACATTACATTACGTTACATTACGTTACATTACGTTACATTACATTACATTACATTACATTACGTTACATTACGTTACATTACGTTACATTACATTACATTACATTACATACATACATACTAATATGGTAATTATTCTACATGGTTATATGGGTGCTGTTACCATGATTAAAAAATCCATAAACCCCACATAAACCCCACCCCCAACAGCCAACAGCCCCCCCGCCTGCGATGAAGCCGGCACAGGCAGCAGGGGATCGTCCTGGAAATCAAAGGACATGGCGGAGTACCACCAGCGCTCGAAGGCTAAACTGGGATAGCGCTTGCAGCCGTTGCTGCTGCCTGACCCAATTTTTCAATGGCCAAAATGGGGAGGGATTTTTTTAGGGAAATTTCTGGTGCAAGTGAGGTTGAAGCCATACCCAGCGGTGATCAGGATAAAACAAGATACTACAAACTGTTTCAGCAACTTCATCAAGCATCAAAGATCATCAAAGTGTGATGGATGCAGCTGCATGGTTGGTGAGAACTCATCAAAAAACAGCGACTTGGCAATCTGAGTGATCTACGTGGGTGTTCGGGAAAAATGACAAGTTGCCTGGAACAGAGGGGGCCAAACTTCAGGACATTATGTCAAAATGGCCCAGTGGGCAAGACATTTTACATCATCAAACTCTGGTTGGTGGTATACCTACCTCTCTGAAAAATATGAGTTCGTCAGTTGGGATGATGACATTCCCAATATATATACATATATATATGGAACAAATAGTCCATTCATGTTCCAAACCACCAACCAGAACTATATCAAACAAAGGCAACAACAAATCAAGCGAATTTGTCAGCCTATCAAACTGCCAGGTCTTCAAACCCCAGGTCAAAATTGTGCCCTGCTGCCCTCATGGGCCGCAAGGGGGTTACGGTTACCCTACCTGGTAGGGTAAAAAAAAGGGCTTGCCATAGGAAAATGATGGAACATGGCCCATTGATTCAGGATTGACCTATACTGGTTGGTGGTTTTAACATGTTTTAACCATCTTGAACAATATGAAAGTCAATGAGAAAGATTACCCTTAATATATGAAATGGACAATAAAACATGGTTGAAGCCACCAACCAGTATATATGAAAACTATTCTCAAAGTAGTGATTTTCCATTGCAAACGGTTCAATGAACAGAGAGGCACCTGAAAAGAATTGTTTGTTAGCTGGACACCAAAGTTTAGTCAGATCCTTCGCTACAGCATGGTCAGTTGCGGGCAGGATTTTCAATAGATTTGAATAATCTTCATCCATCCAAACAAATACATGCACATATTATATAGGTAAATTGACAGTTGGTTAATATACTCTTATACAGTTAATTATACACATATGCACATATATAGTTGATAAATACCGTATGCAAATATGTTATCCTATTATAATCCCATTATTTTCATATCCAACATGGACATTAAGTCCAGTTCCGACCCGTAACCTTGGAGAGAGCCAGCTGGTTTAGTTGCAGTAAGGGGCCGCCAGTGGTGGTCGTCTGAATACAACAAGATGGTGCCCCAGTTCGGAATCGCGACAAGTTGAGGTTCACATAACTCCAATTTCACCAGGGTTTATCATCGATGATAGATATGGTTATGGTTTAGGGAGTTTAGTTTAGGGGGGGTTAAACCAACTTGTAACTGTGGGGGCACCACCTTGGATAGATTTATATCATGTTATAATCCAATAGTTCGCTTGGCCTAGTTATAAGCCGATTTGCCTATTGTTGAGGGCTACTTCCACTTCCTCTATAATATATATTTGGGAATCTATGCGCAGATTGTTTCGCAAAAAGTCTGGCATGTCTCACTTCGCCAAACATTTGATTCAATGGGTATGAATCAAGTTAATTAATGGGGTACCCAAACATGGAGGGTTGCTAACATGTTTTAGCGATGAAATCATGAACAAACAACTGCGTATGGGTCAACATTTTATGTTCAGTATTAATCATCCAATGATTATTACTATGGGTTTATCAACCATCCAATTATTAAGCATTTACTAACCATTTAATACTAGGTATAGGTTTATTTTTGGTATTAACCATCCAGTGATTGGGGTTTGACATAGACCCATACCCAATCGGGATCATCGTGCGATGGAACATGAATGAAAATGAGACATTCAGAAAGCAACCGCCAAATGGTTTATGATACGCAAATAACTATGGTTTATGAATGTTTATGAGTTATTTTCACCATCAATACCCTCTGGTAAACTAACATAGCTATGGAAAATCACTATTTTTAATGGGTAAATCCACTATAAATGGCCATTTTCAATAGCTATGTAAGCGTTTACCAGAGGATAATTATGAATACTTGGATTCCCAGTAATTCCAAACTCACAAGGACGAGTTGAAGTCCTTGTTTTCGCCAAGGTGCACCAGTCTTTCAATTTTCGTTTCAATGAGTCGAAGTACTTCCTCAGGACGCGAACTTTCAAAAGAAAAGAAAGAGCACCTTGGAACAGCCTAAATTGATGTGATTAACAATAATTAATAGTATAATTAATAGTGATTAATACTGATATATATATATATGTGTATTACATATATACATAGTGATTGATAGTTGATAGTAACTATAGTAATTGATAGTGCTGTTCATTTCTTTCCCACATGCTTCTTGCGCCTCGAGCCTCAACTGGATTTTGTGCTCCTACAAGGTGGGGCCTAAATGGCCAAGTTGGTTTAGTTCACTCCAAGACTTGGTTCATAATTCCGAGTTCACTATGGTTTATGATACATAACTCTAGTATTCATGGGCTTCTTGATTAAAACCAACATAGCCATCACTGGGCCCAGTGAAATCGCACCATCCATTCGCCATTTTTATCCCCTAAAAGAAATTCCAATGATGATACCCCGATTCCCAGATTCCAATGGTCGGTTTCTACGTAAAAAGAAGAGTAGTATATGGGAAGCAAGCACTATGGGGAGTCCCAGCGGCCAGGGCATCGTACAGCCAAAAAAAAAACTCCGTCGCCAGATAATCCCACTAAAACAGTGATAGATTTGAAGCTGTTCTATCTCAACTTAGGGTGTTACTATAAATAATAGGGATTCCTGGAATGGATTATGATAGTCCCCAATATATTGGTTAGTATAATCCCCTATTGTAACTAATCAACAACGCTATTTTGAATGGCTCAAATAGTTTCCCTCCTGTAAACTAACATAGATGTGAACAAAATTCAGATTTGTTTAAAGGCAATCAGCAATCATCTATAAATGGATCATGTTCATTCATGTTCCACATATACAGTATCTGCGTTTCCCCCAGGGTAATGTGGGTAAAACAAGTTCATAAACCATGCCCCAGTCATCACAATTTTTATAGGTGGTATCTTTACCATTCCCAGTCATGGGTACCCACATTAATGGATATTAAAGGGACATAGTTAAAACACTTGGTAATGGGATAATGACCCATTGGTGGTCCATTACTACAAATCACCATTTTTATAGGTGGAATAAACCATTCCAAATGGGTAGTTTCTGATTGTTTTACCCACATTACTGGTTGGTGGTTTCAATCCCTCTGAACAATATTAGTCAGCTGAGATCATTATTCCGAATATATGGAGAAATAAAATTCATGTTCCAAACCACCAACCAGTAATGGTTAACCAACAATGGATAAATTATGGATATGTTTTTCAGTGATGATGATTGATGATGATTGGTGGTGATTGATGGAATTAAAGGTTTTGGCAATCAAACATGGTCTAATATTATTGATGTGCATAATCAAAGGCAAACCCATTAATTAATAAATAATAGTATAAACATTCATATCAATGTTATACTATGATATTCATATTAATTATCATGGCTATTTGTGGGTATAATGAATCAACAGACCCAGCATCATGCGCTTCAACTCCGTCTGCACCGACACCGCCTTCGGCTTCGCCGCGTGCCCCACGTGCCCCACCTGCGAGGCAAAGGCCCGGGTGCTGCGGCAGCCTTTCAGCCCGCGCCAGCGCGTCGCATGGAGACATGGCGACCTGCCCTTGGGCATGGCGAGAAAAAGGATTAAAATGGTGGTGGAAATGAGGTGGCGAAGAAAAATGGCTGAAGTATATTAGGATATTATATATATATACACATTAAATATATATATATACATATATATATATATAGAGAGATATTGATTACTGTAGATATCATTGTATATATCTACATCACTATAATTAATGATATATCATTATGTTGTTTTATGTATCATTATGTATCAACATATCACCGTCGAATAAAATCACGATATGTTGGAGTAGATATGCGTAAAGAATCGTAAAGGCTGACATAAGTGGGAATATGACCTTTATTCGTCATGGTTTGAAACCAGTTGCAGACTCCTTCTTTCACCATCTGTGAATGGCATGCCATGTTGCCAGAAAGCACATTTGCAATCCAAAATCCAATGCTTCCAAGATCTTCCAAGTAAGAATGTGAATCACCATGAATCACCTATCAAGCCCAGAAACAAGATTGGCGAGATAGGGTACCTATTGAGAATCCTCACCTATGTGAATCACCTATTGCGATTGGGGGATTGTTGTGCCCCCTGCTCTTATCAGTGGCTCAGCCAAACAGCTTCGTAGTCGTTTCCTCTCTGAGATCTTCAGTCGAAATCATGTGACTTTGCACCCTAAAAGGAAACCGCTTTTGTCAGTGGAAATGCATTTCATGGTTTGTAATAGAATCAACAACATCGCAAAAGAAAACAGTTAAATACAGTTTTTATATATGGGACGCATTGGCAAAGCCTCCGCTGCTTTCCGACAAATGTTTCGGCCAATCTTCAACAACAAGCGATTGACTCCCCAGACTCGTCTGCAATTGCTAGAGTCCTTGGTGCTTTCTATCGTGTTCTATGGCTCAGGAACATGGCCCCTCCTCAACCATCGCATGTACACCAAGCTGGCTCATGTTATCATTCAGTGGCAACGTCGCATTGCTTCCGACGGCTTCTGGAATGCGGATCGCAGCTCTGATGATGACTTTCGATCCCGATGGCTTTTACCAACGCTATCTGCAAGGTTAGCCAAACATCGTTTGCTGTATGCCTTCAAGATGGTTCAACATGCCCCACAGGACTTGATCACATGCATCACTGCTGAGGACGAGATGGCTGGCCGCTCCCCGTGGTGTTGTGCACTTCGCCATGCCATTGAATGGTTGCGACTTCATGATCCTCACGGCATTGCTCATAGCCATGTTGACACACCTGAGGCATTGATTCAATGGTTGCATGCGCATTCTCACGATGGTCCCTCTGTGGTCCGTCGACTGGCCCGACGAGCAGTCAAACAGGATCAGCTTGCCTTTGAATTGAAACAGAAAACCCGTCAGATCTATGAAGCCTGCAAGTTGCAAGGCGTTGTGTTTGACCAAGTTCCAGAAGAACCTCTTTTGGCATCCAACGCAGCGTTTCCATGCCTCACTTGTGGCCAAAGCTTCAGTTCAGTCCAAGGTCTTCAAGCCCATCGATGGCGCAAGCATCAGATATTTTCTGAGGAACGGCGGTACATCTATGACACCACTTGTCGAGCTTGCAATCGCTGCTTCTGGACTGTTCAGCGTTTGCAACAGCATTTGAGGTGGAGTCGCCAACACCCCGATGGATGTTACTATGTGCTGCAACGATATTTCCAGCCACTTGATGCACCAGTCCAATGCAGCTTGCCAGAATTTGCACGTGGATTGTCACGTCTTCCGGCGAGTGTGGTGGAAGGCCCTATGCCAGACGTTATGCCTACGGTCTGGCAATTGCAGCAGCAAGAGAAGCGAGATCGCCTGATGCATCAATGGCGTCAATGTGGGTACCCTGATACTCTGCCTCTGGACTTTCAGCAGAATGTCTATGATCAGTGCACAGCAGTTACCTTAGATTGGCGTCAAACCACTGCCCTTGGAGATCTCTGTGAAGATCACTTGATGCATCGCTGGCTTTCTGCTTTGGATGACCTTGCGGACATGGATACCACCCAAACTCATTTGGCAACTTGGGCCTTTTTGAAGTGGGGACAGTTTGTGCTCCCAGATCTGGTGGAATGTACGGAAGACCCTGATTTTCAGATTTGCATGGATCGTGCCTTCTTTGAAGTGGCCAAATTGTTCGAGATGGATGACCTTTTGACTGCTCTGGACAGGCTTGATCGTGCTCGTGAACCAGTTGATCATTTATTGGATCCACCCATGGTGAACAACGACTCCAGACAAAGGGTGACACTTGAGCCATTTTCCCAGGGATATTCTGACCAAGCTTTGTTTTTGCGCCCTGTGATGCCTCCGGTGCTGACATGGCCTGATGCGTCAGCTGTCCCTGTGGTAATGGGCTACCATGAGAAGCCCACGTTGTTTGTGCTGCATATGTTTTCAGGCAGACGACGAGAGCTTGATTGTCACCATTGGATTGAAACCCTTGCTCCTGCTTTGCTGCCTGAGTACCAGGTGATTTCGCTTTCCATGGACACAGCCATTGATCCTCAGCTAGGTAACCTTTTGGATGGCATGAGCTTCAACCATGCAGTTGCCTTAGCGCGTGGTCATGCCTTTGCGTTGGGTATGACCGGTCCACCTTGTGAGACGTGGACGGCTGCGAGACATCTCGCCTGTGATGAACTTCATGGCGCAGGTCCTCGACCTCTCCGTTCGTGTCAGCAAGCGTGGGGCCTCCTGGGCTTGTCGATGCGTGAGCTTCTTCAACTTGGGACTAGATCAGGATTGATGCTGAACAGTATGCTCCTGGAAGTGCTGATCTCGTTGGCAGGGGGCGGCAGCATAATGGAACACCCAGCATTGCCTCAGGATGAAGAGTATGCATCCATCTGGCGAACGCTGCTTCACCGCTGCCTCATCATGCGCGCTCCGATGGCTCAGATGGTGCGCATTGAGCAGTGGCGCTATGGAGCATTGTCGGTTAAACCGACCATCCTGAGAGGCCTAGGATTGCCCAAATTGGCGAAGCATCTGCATGCGTGCAGACAGCCCAATTTGAAGAGACCCACGGCAGTTCTAGCTGGCTTTGATCGCACCAAAGGGTGCTTTAGAACATCCGCGGCAAAGGAATCCCCCGCCGGCCTGTGCGAAGCACTAGTGCGCTCTGCCTTTCAGAGCCTTAGGCTGCGCCTGCAACGCTCAGGCACCAAAGCTGTACAGTGGCAAGACTTTGACCCAAGTGCCCGTTCGTGGGCCCAGGCACTTGCGACTCAAAGCACAATGGCGTTTGCCCCATCTTTTCTACCGGACTACCAACCCTTGTAAAGTGTACATTTTGGTTGTCCGTTGTAGCGATGGCACTCATGTTGCATGTCCGCACAGTCCGAGAGACTTTCAGCGAGTGAATTGAAAAAAATATATACATAAATAAACCATATCAACACAGTACATAGTTACTCATGCAATGTGCACAAAATGCGTCTTAATATTTGTGTGTAGATTGATCGAATCCTTCATCTAAAAATGGAAACATCATAACGTCTGGGAAGTAGTCGCTCAAACCACCCAAAAGCCACCTACGAACAAAAAGACACTTGTCTCACAAAAAACTTGCTGCATAGCATGTGAAGTGACGCTTCCCTTCTTTTTAATGAGCCAAGCTCTTAATTTTTGAGGCCTTTCGTGTAATTACTTATGCAACCTTTTGCTGCGCAATGCCATGCATATCATGCAACAGAAGCCACGCATCTCCTTCAAAAAAAACCTGTCTTGACGGGGCACTCAATTGCAAAACAGACCAACAAAATGTCCACCCCCGACATTCCCCCCGTCCAGAAACACAAACAGCAAATGGTGCGATCCTTTTTGACCGCCAAAGCCACCACTTCCATCCGTGAAGTAAGCGCAGATTGAGCTCCCACACTGGAAGAAGTGGGGTTCAGGAGGACATGTCTTTGCATTCAGCCGGCACTGGCTGAAGTAAGCGCAAAGAACACCATCGTTGCAAGCACCACAGACGAAAGCACACTGCATCATCCCTAGAAGATCCTGGAAATTTGTTGCACATCAACGGTACGACAATTGTGTGAAACCATCATCTCAGTAGCTCTAGCCATACTCTCAATGGATTGGTTTAAGGGAAATTTTACAGGAAACCCCCATATTTATTGGTAAAAACTATGGTTTCCGGTTAAGATTTTCCCAGCAAAACCAAACCATTGATACTAGACATATAACACAGCCGTCTGTGTTAGCTCATGGTGTTCCAAGTCTAAAACTGGCGGGTTCGGGCTCGGCTCGGCCTGGTAGGCTGGCGGAGCGGAAGATCATCCACCGTTTGTCCACGTCAAGGATCCTATAGCCAAATATAGCCAACATATACATATATATATATAAAAATCATATTATATATATATATATATATCATATCATATATGTATATATATATATATGTATATATATATATAAATATGTATACGTATAGATATGTGTATATATATATATATACAATGATGACATGTGTAACATCGGGGGAAGCACGCACACATATTCCGCACCGCTTGCAGGTAAACTCAGCTTGAAGGAAATTCGAAATGTCCAAATGTCTTTCGAAGTGATCACTTTCAGTGAAGTGATTGGCTTTTAGCCTGTTCGCCCATGAAATGTATTGGTCAATTGTGATGATGATGATGATCATCATCATCCCTCGATGGAAAATTGTCCCACACACATTCCAAACCACCAACCAGATCAAGTGATGGTGATCCAACTTGTCACAGCGACTGACTCGATACAGAAAGAGGGGGATGATCTACCCTCTGGTGAACTAACATAGCTATGGAAAATCACCATTTTTAATGGGAAAATCCACTATAAATGGCCATTTTCAATAGCTATGCTAAATTACCAGAGGGTACATTACATGTGGCTTTGTCTTAACATGCGGTACCGCTCAAATGGCTACTTTACTAGGACAATGATGACAATGATGATTGATCACTGGAGTTTTAGGGTACCCTTTCTTCAAACAAACCCATGGTTCTTGCTTGGAAAGCTTCAATATTCATACCAATCCGTATGGGACAATGGAACGCTGACAGACCCATCATCCAGAAAAAACCAGACCCATCACCCAAATCCTATGGAGATCCAAGAAGCCACCGCTTTCTTGCTCCAATCCTATGTCCTATGTCCTATGTAGATGGTTGGGTTCCAAACAGGTTTGGTTCCACCCAGATCTCATCTAAAAGACTCTTTGGATATACCTTATCCGATGGCAATATTATCGCAGTACCAATAATGAACCCATCCCCTACTCTATCAAACTTGGGCTGTATAAACCATCCAAAATCATCCAAACATTCAAGATTCATTATTAGGTTTACAATGTTTACAACCTTCTACACTCTTCATCTCTTGTGCTGTCTGCCATTGGCACTACAGGTCTTCAAGTTTTCAAGGCTCTCCCATCCGTGCCTGGGCCGCTAAAGCTCGGTCTTTCCTTTCGAAACCTGCGGGAACGCTGAGCCATAGCTGGTTACCAGATGGTGATTCCCCCAGTCATATGGTAATAATCCCTTCTTCTTATTACTAAAACCTCCCCCAAATAAGGAAAAAAAGGGATTGGTGTGGCACTTCCAATTTTTTTTGGTTGGGCACAATTGGATTCTTAATTGTGGTAATTGAGAATCAATAGGAGAACAGGATGGTGAAACAATGGGTTCAACCCCCTATCAATAAAAATAGATTGCCACCTGAAGGTTTCTTATTAGGGTCCCATCTCACAAGTTTTATGTTTATTTTTATTATCGAGGTTTCAATGGAATATTAGGGGAAAGCTTCGAAATCAAGTTTTTGGCAATATCGTATATAGATTTTAATAAGGGATTTAATCATGTTTTTTTTTAAACATTAGTTTTTTTTTGGTGCCCCTAGTACTAAATACCCCCCAATAATAAAAATAGATCACCGTGTTTACCAGTTGGGGGGGTGTTTTAGTAACGTGACCGGGAGGGCCATCTTTAGAGGATCTGGTCCCCCAGTAACGAGCCTTGGCGGCGGCGGATCTAGCCAGTCAATGCAAAAAAGAAGCCTACAGTTATGGCCCTTTACCAGTTATAAGTACTTAAAACCGGTAACCCCATTTATAGAATGTATAATCCCATTTATGACCGGGGGTAACTAATAAATGGCCATAACTGTAGTCTACCCGAGTTGGTAAGTCTCCTATCTCCTAAGTAGACTTAACCCCATTCATAAATGGATCATAATAAGTACGGTATAGTACGGTTATGAACCACAAAAAGGGCCATCGGAAGATCCTCCAAGGGGCCCATTTTCGGTCGGTGCTTTATAACAGGCAGTTTAACAGTTTGATCCTCTTGCACAAACGTATTGTGCCATTTGTATCTTTACTGTACTTGTGAATACAATATATTTATAATACATATCTAAAATATATCTAATTATATTATATATATAATCTATCTAGAATATATCTATAATGTTATCTAGAGTATACATGCAGTACTTCAGCTGTATGTACGTGTGAGTCTAAAGCATACATTATATATACGCATCAAGATATACGCGCCCTGGGAAAAGTCAGTTTAAGACTTACTATCACCTAATTGCATACCCATGCTGATGTAGAAACATAGAAGAATACAAATGCTGTGACAATGCTATGTGGCACCAGTACCAACTATCTGGGTAGATTATGCTAATTCACAAGATTGAAATAAGGCCACTTCGGGATAGCTACTCTTCCTAATCATCATCTCTGGTGATGTAGTGGTGATATTACGATGAAATTGATCCATAATCATATACTTTCATGTGCATATATATTATATATACGGTTGTATATCATCGGTTGTATATCGTCGGTTGTATATCCCATTCTATCTCACTTATCAATTATCTTCCAATTAACGGCAATTGTTTGGTCAAATCATTTAAAGCGATTTAAACCCCAATTCTCCCTTGGTCTTGATGGTTAAAATCCTACCCTCTGGTAAACTAACATAACTATGGAAAATCACCATTTTTAATGGGAAAACTCACTATCAATGGCCATTTTCAATAGCTATGTTTGTTTATCAGAGGGTAATGTTCCTTTAATTAGTTTGGGACCATCGCAATGGTCTTCAACATGGCGATGCAAAGCACATGGCCATGGGGCCACCTTGTAGGTGATGGCTGAACTCCTCTCCTTCCAATCTCGCCAAGCGGTTCCTGGCCAGTCAAAGTTCTGGGGCCGTTGGTGGTTAGTCATGGGGATATTCACCAATAATCGATGATTCATGGAGAATTTTGATGGATAAATGCGGTAAACCCTTCAATCTACTCAAGTTCAACTGCCCTCAAAACTACAAACTGAAAACCAAAAACGGGCGATCTTCAGGACGAAGATCGCCACAACCCCGCAGTTGGCTGGCTTGCTGCAATCAGTTCAACGTGTGGTGCTGAGTGAGTCAAAATAGTCAAATAGTTTAATGAACATTAATGAACCAACAGTTATCCTAGTCCGCAGACCCAGCGGACCTTCTTCTATTCTCACTTCATCTTCCATCTCAAGCTTTGCTTCGGCCTGCGTTTTCGAAACGGTCTTCGGATGGTCAAAGGCGGCTGGCGTTTTGCTGCCCAAACATCCACACTCCAGAGGAAATGATCATAGTCGCAAACTCCAACATCGGAAATGAAACCATTTGGGCATGGTTTCAGTTAGTAACTTATCATTTGTAAGCAGGTGGTTGTGATGTCTTTTTGATTTTGAAAAGGTACTCCCACTTGAGTACTCAGACATGTGGGAACAAAGCATGATATAAATCATGAATGAAAAATAATGAGAGCATACTCACTTGTAGACTTCGGAAGATCATGCTGTAGTAATCTTGAAAAAAGTAGAAACGTCTAAACATGCCATCAAGATTGTAAAGAACATGTCCCCTTTTCATACCTTTGCAACATCTTTTTGGACCCCAGGAGAGTCCCCGGTGGCCTGAAGTGCTTCCACATTTTTGGCCGAAAGACTTAGCTCCTGCCATGTGGAGTCGCCGATGGCGACTGAGACTGGTCAACCCAAGAAAAATCAAGAACACATAAAACACCAGTTTCACCCAGGGTTAATGTTAATTGTTTTACCCAGGATTGAAATAAAGGTTTGAATTTCACCTAATGAACCGTTTAGTAGTCGGGAGGCTAGAAAATTTTATACTATTGAGATATATATGTTCGGAAATTCTCGGTTTTGGACTGTATTTAAAAAATAGATCCCAAAAAAGTGACTGATCATTGGACAACCACACGCGGGTCTGTAACCACGACACATGGGTTTATGACCGACAGGAGTTGGCATATACCACCAACAAAGACAAACATGGCTCAATAACCAGATACCAAAAGTGAAACAAATTGGCTGGTCACTGTCTGGCTAAACCATGCAATGCCGGCTAAACAATTGTGACACATCTATTTAATGATGTTTTATGACTTTCCTCCAGAAAATTAAAGAACAATGGATCATCTTTACATCTATCACCAGGTTTTCCCGAAGTCGATCAATGAGTATGATTTAGCTTCAGAATTACTTAAAGACTTAAGGACCAATAATTTCAATAACCTATTGAATAGCCTTCATAACCTGATTATCATCCATAGTTTCCATAGTTTTTGAGGCTATCTTAAGGACCTTAAATCGTCACCTTTCAATAGCCTCAACGTTTCAAAGCTAGCGCTGGCAATAGGCTTAGCGGTTTGGAAGATCAAAATGCTGAGATGTTTGTTCTGGAGCCCATGGTTTTACCCTACCCAAATTGATGAAATAAACATATGATATATATATATATTACATAATAGAATATAATATAATATATTATATTATATTATAATATAATATAATATGCAATAATACAATATAATATAATATAATATAATAAAATAAAATATAATATAATATATTAAATAATATAAAATAATGCAATATAATATAATATAATATATTATAATATAATATAACAAAACAATAAAAAGTAATAATATAATAAAATAACATAATATAATATAATATATTGTCATATAATTTAATATAGTATAATATAATATAATGTCATAAAATTTAATATAGTATAATATATTATATTATATTATATTATATTATATATATAATATATTATATTATATATATAATATTATCTTTGTTTTTTAACATGATATATATATAATAATATATATATAGTATTATTATTAATATATATATATAATATATTATATTAAATAATATAAAATAATACAATATAATATAATATAATATAGTATTATATATATGTATTAATAGTAATATCATATATATATATATACAATATGATCATGCTCATGCTCACAGGATTAAAAAGGATAATAATTGCAATATATTACAATCATCTGCTGGCATTATTGGCATTGGAGCCCATTTTCAGACGAAGCAAAGAACATCATGATCGATATGAGCGAGAAACAATACCCACTATCCCATCTCATTGTACTAGTGTGTTGATAGGTTTCCACAATATGGTTATAACAAAATCACCAGTAATCCAGGTAGAACTCCCTATTACCAATCAACCAATATCAACCAGGGATGACCAGGGTATGTTCAATCCCTCATGTTGTGAGGATCATCCATATGGGTGTGTCTGAAAATAGTGTAGCCCTAAACCCAATGGTTAATGATCATTATCCCTATTAAATGGCTATAATTGGGAATATACCCTATTTTCAGACAAACCCATATACCCACCATTACCCAACATTACCCAACGGTGTCACCACCCTCCGCCCACCTTCTGCCCTGCCACTTCGGGAAGATCCACCGCAAGACGAACCTAAAGGCACGGCTTTTTCACATCCACCATAGAAACTCGATGACTTTGCCACTAAAACATAACACCAGCTCCATTGTTTGGTTGGTATCCCTGTTGGTTGGCTAAGTTGGATTATGATGGATTATGTCTATAGATGGGGTTGAGAAACCAACAAAACTGGCAGCACCTTGCAGGGAAATCTTTCAACAGAATTCGATGTAGGCAGCAATGATGAGGGTTTTCTTCTGGCTTGTGTCTAGAACACAGAACCAATCTTTCACTGCAGCAAACAACCACAGATTGTCACAGATTCCATGCAAAAAAACAGCACGGAGCTAGATCAGACTGTCGTGGTGGAGATCCAAGAAGCAGCCGTCAGGCCTAAGAAATCCCTAGAATTCCGAAGATATCAGTGGTATTTGGATCCAAAATGATCCCAATACCTTCGCAGTTGCAGTTGGTGGGCTCCGGTCGCTGCAGTTGGTGTCAACCCTCTGAAAAATGGGATCATCCCCAAGTGAGATGTAAAAAATACACACTAAACGTACTATAAATCAACCATAATTAACATACGAGTTTCAAAAGCATCAACCAGTTTTGTTCGCACAGGTGAATGAGTCATTCTTAGCGCCTTCTGTGAATGTTCCATGGGTTCCCCAATACTTTGTGAGTTTCGTAACGTGAGACAACTTTTTTTTGCATCCTGGTTTTGATAGGAACTCATCAGCTCATGTCAGGTTCATGGATCAGAGTATGCCATAGTAAGCCTACATTCAACCATTTCCAGTTTCAATACTACCAACTATCAACTTGAGCTGACTTCACATGTCTCAACATGTCATGTCTTCTCACTTGCTTTTCCCCCAGTTCTTGAAATCAAAGCCATGTTTATCATAATGTCTGAAAACCAAGGGTACCCCTCAATTCACTGCGCAATCATGTTCACCATGTTCCCTCCCTTAAAATTGCTGTCTTGTTGGTTTCATCACGTTTCATCCGCCATTTTCAGCCTTAAAACTGTTTTTTTTGTTGGCCTTGAAATGCGAAGTAGAAAGTCCAACCCCCCAGCAAAATCCTCCAAAAAGCCTCTATTTCCACCATTTTCCACCATTTACCCATTAAAGTCCATCCATTTGCCAAGTCCAAAGCCGCCAACGGCCGCCCATGGCCCAACTCCCAACCCGCCACGGCACGTAGAGGTCGCCGCGTTTGTTGCCGGACTGCACTAAGCCTTTGCCCTTGAGGCGGAGCACCTGCCCGAGGCGAAAAAGGATCATGGGAAAATCATGGATGGGGCCCCACAATAATAGTTATATAGTTTTATAGGCACTATCGTTAGCGTTCAGCTGGTGAAAATAACATAAAATAACCATCATAACAAGTTGGTGTATGATACGCAAATAAACTATATATAGTTGGTTTATAATTTCATAACAACAATAATAACACTAGTGTATGATACTTAGAACTATATGGATTATATATATATATATATATTGTTATAACTATTTCATAACAAGTTGGTGTATGATACTTATAATTAACTAGATTTAGATGGGGTTGTAAGCCAACTTATAACTGGGGGGGGCCCACATTGTAGGAAAATCATAGGAAAATCACCTGGCAATAGTATTATGGGTGGTTCCATAGCCGTGGGGGTACCCCAGAATGGAATGTTAAAAATGGAAAATCCTACAATGTGAGGCCCCCAAGATAGCTAAGTTGGTTTATAACTCCAATAACTATGGTTTATGGTATTTATAACTATAGTTACCGGGGCTTACAAGCCAACTTATAACTGGGGGGGGGCCACATTGCTATAGTAAAATCCAATAGCTGGATGGTTTATGTCATGAAAAATCCGAGAATGAAATGAATGATAACTGAGGGTACCCACATGACTTAGGAAACCTCCTATAGGAACATCGAACGAAATGGATGGTTTTGAATGGGACATCCCATAGAAATCATTGTTTTTAAATAGGAACTAAATGGGGCATTTTCTAGAAGGCCATGGAGCTGATTCTCAGCATAATTTGCCAGAATCCATTGGTTTTTACCCCAACATTTTCTTTGAGAATTCCAATTCACATTCTCAAAGAACAGCCATCCCACACACTTCCCATAGATATATCAAACATTATCAAACTATGATGGATTCTTGATGTTCTCATATCAAGGTACCAGGGGCTCTCTGAAGATGCCAAGCAAGATTGTGGATGCCTTCTGTCTGCTGCCCATTTTGGTTATGTCAACATAGCTATGGAAAATGGCCCAGTTGAAATAGTCGATTTGATTTACCCATTAAAAATGGTGGTTTTTGCATCGTTATGTACACGAAAAAACCAGAGGGTAACCATTCTGCTTTTTTGTTTCTTTTCGGACTCTGCAGCTTTGGCGGATGGAGCAAGTTTGAACCAAACTATTGTCATCCCCAAAATATGATTGATATGATTGAGGATTTCCAAAGGGGAATGTTGTCTTATGTTTATATTAAAGGGATTGCAATCAACTTGTTTAAAAGCCTTGTTGGATCTTGTTGGCTTGCAAGCACATGCTCCATGTCCGGCTGAAGGATGAGAATGCACCACATGGTCCATCAAATGGGGCACCTACAAATCTCTAAACATCATATATCAAACCATACATACAGACTGCAACATGATAAAATCCTGCAACACACACACCAAAAAAAAAACATCCAATTGATTCGATGGTTGATCCAACTTCTTAGCATCATGAATTGGTCGTTTGAGGACATCTTAAATGAAATATGCAAATAAACTAGACATAATTGATGAATTCCCATTGAGGAATTGGATCACTACAAAAGCAATGGGGAAAGCTTGTGGTATTTTTTTCTCTGTATATACATAATATATATATATATATACATATGTATAATATATATATATATATATATACATGCGATCATATGTAAATCATTGATCGCATTCCGATTTCGGATGTTTGCGAATACCGCACAGCGACGGGCTTTGGCTTATCCCAGTGAGCAAGTGGTTAGGAAGCTCATGCTACCTAGGTATATCCGAGAAATCTAAGTGGGTTATGTCACAATATGTCACATGAGGGTTTCTACAAATGGTGAGACCGTAATAGCTGGATGGTTCATGGAAAATCCCCAGAAAATATGGATGAGAACTGAGGGTAGCCGCATGAAAAAACGGAAACCTCCAGGAACCATTCTTAGTCACTTGCAATGCCTGGGACATCCAAGGACTTGACCATGTTTGAAAGCGTCATTCGTGCGATATCTGGATAAATCACAATGCATAAATAGGTCCCAGGTCCATATCCCCATGAATAATGGTTAAGTGTTAACTCCTTATTTTTCATGGTGGAAATCCTAATTTTTGACGATGATCCAGAAACCTAACATTGCTACGGAATCCAAGGCTTTCCTGTTCCGAAATGCTCTACATTCATGGTGGATGTTCCGTATCTATGTTCGTTGATTACCCATGAACTGCAGCTATAATCACCATGACCTTCCTTAACCTATAGTTGTAAGCCAACATGGCTAGCGAAAAGGGGCACCACCTGGTAATTTGTGATTATTACCCTCTTGTCATTAAACAAAGCCATGGAAAATCACAATGTTTAATAGGACATATATGGAAATATAATGTATATAGGAAAATCATGAAAATAATCAATACATATCTGTGAATCATCTATAGGTGTGCGATTTTCCATATCTACTGTGAGTTTTCTGGAGAGTATATCTAATATTAAGTCCACTGAAATCTCCTGTTCTGATGCCGCTTGAATTGACCCACCTCGTCAGGTCTTTCCAGCCGATCTTTCACGATCGTCACCTTGGAGAAATTCAAACGGCGCAACGGGCGAGATTTCGGCCATGGGAAAAATTATCCAATTGTTTGTTCTTCTCTGAGAAAAATATGTGTTTTTTGTATTATTTTGCGTTTTTTTTGATGACATTAACTACATTCACCAATTTTAGTGTGGAAATCCACAAAAAGTGCGACGATCCTCCAAGCATTACACTGGCAGATGCAGAACCAAGGTGGGTCCCTTCCATTTATAATTCCCCCAAAAAAACATGACTAGTTGGATACTATGTGCTATACATATTTATTGACGCGTTATTGGCTTATAACCCCTATTGAGTATATGTTATAATATATATATATGTTATATATATATGTTATATATATAAATTATATATATATATATATATATGTTATATTGTACTATTGAGCAAATTATATATAATGTTCTATGTGTAATATTATTACATTACATTACATTACATTACATTACATTACATTACATCACATTGTATTGGATAATATTCTATCCATTTCTATCCCCTATAAACTCAGTGAAATTGGACTTATGTTCAGCGATTTTCACTGAGGCCATCACGGTCTCCTCACCCAGGTGTCTCCAAGAAATCCTCGCGATGGCGCCCACATGGGAAGAGACAGGCACTTCCCACTCTGGCTTCGGATGGTTTAATGATGGCATGGTTCATGATGGATAATGATGGTTGATGATGGTTAATAATGGTTATATAATGATGGCTAATGATGATTAATGATGATTAATGATGGTTAATGATGGTTAATCATGGTTAATGATTGTCAATGATGGTTAAATTGGGTTATTCCGATTAATGGTTAAATTGGGGAAACATAGAATTGCATGTATTTCTCTGGTCTCAAACCGGTGGGCGATCCGAAGGTTGGAGAGAAACTATGAAACTCTGGGCATATTTCTCTCCAAAAATCGGTGCAAATCCCAGGAACAATCCAAGAATCCAAGAATTGAGACTTCCACCGATTCTAATAGCGCTGCCAAGGGTCGAGAAGCCAAAAAGGGCTTGTTCTAAAGAGACGTGCAACACCTCAGCAGGACTCAGCAGGTGTTTTTCACTCCAAGGCCCAAGAGGGCTGATATAGATTGGTGGGATGATCGTGGGACAAATAATGACAAACCGATGACTGGTTGGTGGTTTTTCGCCCTACCCCTCTGAAAAATCATGGAGTTCGTCAGACCGGATGATGTTTCCCAATATATGGGAAAATAAAATTCATGTTCCAAACCACCAACCAGATGAGGTATTACCATGTATGACAACCTTGTTGGTTGATGCCATGTTGTTTATGATCAGCAAATGGTTGATCAATAGGATGATTGGCAAAGGGTTTACCACAGGCATCCGCCTGGATCATCTGATCAACATGTTGCCTCTAATGTTTGCAAGAACATTTGACGGCCACCTGGTCAGGTTTTCATGATTCATCATTAATCATCATTACTCCATATTAATCTATATATTAATCCTATAAAATCTGATATAGTCAATGTCTGCACGGCCACTGCACAGCCCGTACTGCACCGTATTTTGTTGCCTAGGGCCTACGTGCTGCAGGCCTTTCTGGATCACCAAAAAACGCTCTCACGTCATCGCCACGCAATCTAAACATACGTATCTAAACCTCTAAAAGAATCTAAAAGATTGAACAACCCATCATTCATTCAAAGGATCAAAACAATCTAAACCTCCAAAGGAACACTTCAGTCTTCCCAAGGGTCAAAGAATCAAAGACCAATCATTTTGTTCGCGCCCGGCGAAACTTCGACGACCAGCCAACGATGCTATCCGATATTGAATCTATTTGAACCACTTCCATCCATTTCCTGCCTGAAAACGTACCGTGCCCGTACCAACAAAAATGGTTGGTGGTATACCTCCCCTCTGAAAAATATGAGTCAGATTGGATCATCATCCCAACTATTGGGGAAAATAAAATTCATGTTCCAAACCACCAACCAGTTGTGTTTTCCTGCGCCACCCTCCTCTGCACTTTGTCGGCTCTGGATTCCAACATCATGGGAAACTGCGAACCGCTTGGTGCTGGAACAAAACCAACGCAGTACACTGATGAAGGATCCCACTTAGTAGGTGGTTGATAACCCATAACCCTGGTTAGAAAGTCCCCTGGGTGGATCGTACCATCTACAAGTGGGTTACAACTATGGTTACTAATCAACCACCTCTATGAAATTATTAAAACATGATTCTCCAAGTACTCTACGTACACTTTGGGCCACTGGGTTTGTAGAAAAATGGAGCTTCAAACCCAGGAATTTCGGGCATACTGAGGCTGTGCACCGTGTGCAGATCTGATTCGGCAATCCTGTAGCTATCTTCCTTGCTACCTGCGGGGCAAAAGTCTGGGAACGAAACGTGCTTCGGTGATTCATCATGATTTATGGAATATAGTAACCCCAAAAATGGTAGAACATGGTAGAACCATGTAGAACCGTATTTCCACTATTATAGATGAGGTTTTTTGTCCAACCATTTCCAGGTATTTAACTTTTCTATCATGTTGGGCTCTACTCCAAATGCAAGGTTGGCTCATCTGTCCATCTGCAGCCCCCTGAGATCCGTTATAGTTGGGTGCGCATGCTTGTTCAAATGTCCAAAAATGAGGGGATACGGTATACATGTTTCCCCCTAAACACGTCATTGCGGGAATAAACGATGATAATACAGTGATCATGCCTTCGAATTGGGGGGTACCACATCTTCAGACAATACTCACAGTAGCACCCCATGCAAGCCCAGGAATAGCACACTATTTGGACACGGCAATGGATGACGACTTTGATGTACAGCTGATGAAACAACTCCCAGGCGGTCCCAGGTGGCCATGGAAATCGAGGAAGGCGAATTTTCAGCGACGTATCTAGTCCCAATATGTCTCAATTCAGTTCCTGTGAAAAGTTGACGAGGCACTGGGGGCGAAAAATATATAAACATATGGTAAAATCATGTGATTCACACCAGGTCCCCATAGTAAAGTTGGCTTTCTCCAATGACTAGGCGTAACATGGCTTAACCACACATCAATCATAGATCTATGATTAAGGACTATAGACATCCCACACATCTATAATTAAGGGCTGTTACCAACCAACATCAACCAACTATAAACATCTTAAACCTCTGGGGGGGTGCACCAGCTTGCAAGTCTGATTCAGACCCCAACGCCAAGCCCACCTCGCTGCACCTTGAAGTTGACCTGACGAGCCACATGGCTTTCAGGTCAGGGGGGAACATCAGGGAACGTCAGGGAACATCACCAAAGAACTTACCTCAGGTGGTTCCCCAGTTCGGAATCGCTAAGTTGGTGCCAATAAGTCCAATAACTATGGTTTATAAGTGATATATCGAACTAGTTAATGGGATTATAACCCATTTATAACTGGGGGGGAACCACCTTGTACCAACTTACCAAAGACCCAGTAAGAATGATGGGGTACAACGGGGATATCTGGGATTCAACAGAGTCCCTCTGTGCACCAAGGGAGGACCCCTCCTTCCATACGAAACAATCCGGTTATGCCTCAAATTGGTTTATAAATGACCAATTTCTTCGATCTAATGGTTATTTATAAACCAATGGTTATTTAACCAGATTGATTATAATAGACTATAACGAAGATAGTCTAAAATTTTCGAAGATTCTTTTCTTTGGTCCATTTGGTGCCCAAGCTTGTGCCATAGCAATCCACCACATGTCTATCATTTTGGCTGATTGATATCCCTATGTCACGAGAAATTTTGCCTGGAATATATGGTGGTTTCCTGAAATGCTGGTCCCCAAAACCATGGTTTTTCATACTAGAATGATCGAATCTTGGATTTGGGGGTACCCCGGTGGTTTAGGAAATCTATATGGAAGTTTCCTGAAATCGGGGTACCCCCAGTCATCATCCATTTTATTCTCGGATTTTCCATGAGATAAACAAATATTTTGGGGTACACCAATAACATGTATATTTTCATGGAAACCATATTAATGGAAACAATATATAAAGACAATTCCATAGATTTACCACCCCGGAACCATCCATTTTAATAGGATTTTCCGTGAAATAAACCATCTATTTTGTTATTTTGGGGTACCCCCATTTATGGAACCCCCTTATATATATATATATGAATTATATATATATATAAATAATAGATATATATATATAAATAATTATATATATATATATATAACTATACATATATGTATATATCATATCAACGTTACTAACGTTGTTCCTCCGGTTAGCTCCCCGAGGCGCACCTTCCCAGGGAACTTTCCGGGCGTCTGGTGCCCCATGTTGGACAGAACCTGGCAGGCGGATGTCTGAAAGATCCAGAAAGAACATGCCTGGTTGGTGGCTTCAACCCCTCTGATATATAATCTGTGATAATGTACAAAATATATCATATAGATAATTCGATTATATCACAGATTCCATATATACGAGTACCTATATGGTTGGTGGTTTCAACCCCGCTGAAAAACACGAAAGTCAGCTGGGATCTCCCAATGTATGGAAACATAATCCAAATGTTCCAAACCGCCAACCAAATGCTGTATGGGATGACTCAGAATATCGGCGGAAAATATGTGTGTATATCTCTCAAGCTGTAGCTTCATCTGTGATGTCTCAAGCTTTTCTCAACCTAACAAACGGATAGGTATGAATGATTGATGGCCCTTATTCTCCATACGACATCGAAACCTGAACGGTTCGGATCTGGATAAATCACAACTAGAATTCACCAACCTGAACAGTTCGGCCAACCATCTTTCTTGCTGGGCTGCGGCATGATGCGGCATGTTGGGATAGTGACGTGGCAGTTGGGTCGTCATCATTTCGCCGGATCGGATGAAGCCAAAACAGTACTGGGTGACATCAGCGCATATAGCATGTGTTATTTCTGTGTAAACATTATATTGGGCTCACTGGTTGCCTTCACCTCCTGCTATAAAAATATAAAATAATAAATTAGTGTAATTTCATAGCACCTGTTGCAGTTCTTCTCATCGCAGGGTTCCAAACATATTTCCACAAACGTGACTTTTTTGGGGGCCCAAGCGGCCCAACCAATATTTCATCACCATCGCAAGTAGTGCTGAATCCCTCCTTGTGTGGATCCAAGTAACTGAAATCGGAGTTCAACAAGGACAATTTGCTGGGAATTTGGGCCAGGAAAGACAGCAACACCCCAACATCCCAAATCCCACTCTTGGCCGATGAATAGCTATCCATAGGTTTCCTCATTCGTTAGGTCATAATCCCCAACCAGATAGCATAAATCCTGTTTCGTATTGGGATTCCACCAGCCCAAAGGTGACCCACCCCAAAAAGCCAAACAAAATATGGGCGTATTAAGGGCTTATGAGACACCCCCTACCAATCAGGTCTTCTCAACCATCTTGTGTCGCTATGGTCAACTTTGCTGGGTCCATGTTCAACCCCAAAAACTTGAATTGAAATCTCGAGATCCTTTTCATTTCAGGTATTCCCTAAAGATGCGCCTCAGATTCTCCCAGTTCCATGCCGATCCATTTTGCGGTGGTTGAAATGGCTGCCTCGCCTTCAAAGATGCGCCTTGCTTGGCTCCTTTGCTCACGCGCACGGTCACCTGCGGCTTGACCAAAATATCGCCGTCTGTGACTCCAGAACTGTTTTTCCAGGGGGGATTCAGCCCCGGAAAGAATAAGTTTTTGTTTTATGAAAGTTAAACCACCAACAACTCAGCAAACTACGGACGAATCTTCACCATCCCTGAGGTCATCTGAAAACGGTGATAGAAATATCGAATCACAGGTAGAGAGGCTGCTATGGTATGTGTCCGCGTAGGGGTTGCTATTGGGGAACAACGGTCAGTTTCACCATGGTGATTTCAGTCCGGTTTGTCAGATTCGACGGCACCCAAGTTTCAAACGAGGGGTATCATAGGCAGCTCCAAAAATATCAACGCCTTTCTTTGTCGGAAAATGTTTTTGTACCCCTATTTCCACAAGGATTTTCATTATTTTTCATTTATTAAAAAAAACAGATTCATGATCGTTTCCCTACTAAAATAGCAACATGTTACCCAATTTTCGTGCTTGGATGATCTCCATCTGCATATGCCCTGGTCCAACTGCAAGGTTATTATAGGTCTAAGGATGAAGTTCCTCGAAAGTCTGGTGACAATGTTTTGCAACATATTAATATATGTATGTTAATGTGTATATATATATATATGAATATTAATTTTGAACACGCCATATACACAAACTGGCATCATGAATATAAGAGTATATAGGCGTATATACAAATATACATATATATATACAATTATATACATATATATCTGTCTCTGTGTACAATCATGAGCATACACATATATCATACCTGTACACAAGAAGTCTAGTTGTAACTATATCTCACCATAGAGTCCCAACTCAAACAGCCTCCGAACATCGGAAGCCTCTACCGGGACTTCGTGACACCTTTCGCGGCTTTCTTGTTCTTTCTCTCTCATGCCAACGACCTGAGGACGCGACCGACAAAAGACACAACGACCCACGGGCACATGATAGTAGGAATATGTAATAATAGTACTCCTTGATCGCTCGAATAATAGATGTTATACTCCTATGATTCCTATTGATATGCATTAACACACTAGACTATATTTTATATGCGTTGAAATGCATTGATATGCATACTATGCACCGAAACGGAATTCATGTGCATTGATAGCGAGTGGATTCATTGCCCGAATGTCTCAAAATCACCCTTGGGGATTGAATCAACAAACAGCATCGACACAGATCACCCAAGAAGGATGCAAACCATGATATACCTAGCTGCATAATGCTGAATTTCATGAAACAAATCCATTTAAACAATCCATTAATGGCAAACATTTACTATTTGTGCTAAACTACCCAAATAGAGGAGCGTTTACTTTCTATAGTCTTCCGTTCAACTGTGGTGGCTTGAGAAGTGGATTCCCAGCCAGCTCGCTCTTTGTTTACTTTGGAGGGTATGTAATCATCGTGCCAACAAAACATAAACAATAAGGTAAATCCACGCGAAAATGAGTGAAGATTCACTAATATTCACTTTTCTATATCTTTTTGAGGGTTCCTTTTTCTCCTGGTTCATGATGGCCATGGATAGCTGGATACAGACCTCCCAGCTGTGCCTGACGGCCGAAGGGCGTCATGCCGTACTTGGGCACTTGCACCTGGCTCACACTGGGGATTCACAGGGGGTCACATCAAATTGCCATGGAATTGCCGAATGGGCCCAGATTGAAGAACTCTTATTATACTCTTATTTAAGTATATGCTTATTATGGATAATGGGCATGATTATGGTTGTCTATACATATCTATACTATATAATTATAATTATAGAGACACTCTGGACACGAAAAGTCGAGTTTTAGCACGACACCAACTAGCCAAATTCGCCGCCACCTTCACCACCCTTTTATAAACCGGCCGCCTTCTCAGGGGGGCATCGGCCGCAGTCTTGGCACTCAGGTCTGCGGCCATGGGAAAGAATGGACAGAACATCACTTCACCGCAGAATGATAAATCTGGTCGTTTGCGCTTCTTTTTTGCGTAGCACACGGGTTCCCATAACCCCCGAAGAGGTAAATGTGTGGAATTTCCAGCTTTTGGGGGTTGTGGTTTGGCGAGCTATGGGGTAGGCTGTAGAGGTTTGTTTTGCTTTACCTAAGGCCAGACGTGGCAGCGCGGTCTGCATAAGGAAATGCATCATCTGAGAGGAAGCAGCTGTTCGTCTGAAGCACGTGCAGGTGCCTCCTGTCCAGCCCTTGTAATTTCCACTTGGGACCTTGAACCTACATCTTTTTAAATTGATGTAAAATGCTCAGAAGTCAGGCGCACAAGCTGCCACAGCCCCCAAATGGCTAAATCTCGGGAATTTGCAGCTTTTTGGGGTTGTGGTTGGCAGCTGTGGTTAGGGAGTACACTGGGTTCCTCATTCACCTGCTTCTAGAATCCTCTAAGCCTCTAGATGTATTTTTTCGTGTGCGTCCAGAACACACAGGTAGAAGGTTCCCGCCACAACCCCCGAAGAGCGAAATCTCTGGAATTTGCATCATTCACCTGCCTCTAGAATCCTCTAAGCCTCTAGATGTATTTTTTTCATGTGCGTCCAGAACACAGGTAGAAGGTTCCCGCCACAACCTCCGAAGAGCGAAATCTCTGGAATTTGCAGTTTTTGGGGTTTGTGGCTGGCAGCTGTGGTTAAGGGTACACTGGGTTTGGTTCCTCATTCACCTGCCTCTAGAATCCTCTAAGCCTCTAGATGTGTTTTTTTCATGTGCGTCGAGAACACAGGTAGAAGGTTCCCGCCACAACCCCCGAAGAGCGAAATCTCGGGAATTTGCAGCTTTTGGGGGTTGTGGCTGGCAGCTGTGGTTAAGGGGGTGCACTGGGTTTGGTTCCTCATTCACCTGCCTCTAGAATCCTCTAAGCCTCTAGATGTATTTTTCATGTGCGTCCAGAACACAGGTAGAAGGTTCCCGCCACAACCCCCGAAGAGCTAAATCTTTGGAATTTGCAGCTTTTGGGGGTTGTGGCTGACAGCTGTGGTTAAGGGTACACTGGGTTTGGCGAAGAGCTAAATCTCGGGAATTTGCAGCTTTTGGGGTTTGTGGCTGGCAGCTGTGGTTAAGGGGGTACACTGGGTTTGGTTCCTCATTCACCTGCCTCTTGAATCCTCTAAGCCTCTAGATGTATTTTTTTCATGTGCGTCCAGAACACAGGTAGAAGGTTCCCGCCACAAACCCCCGAAGAGCGAAATCTCGGGAATTTGCAGCTTTTGGGGGTTGTGGCTGGCAGCTGTGGTTAAGGGGGTACACTGGGTTTGGTTCCTCATTCACCTGCCTCTAGAATCCTCTAAGCCTCTAGATGTATTTTTCATGTGCGTCCAGAACACAGGTAGAAGGTTCCCGCCACAACCTCCGAAGAGCAAAAATCTGGAATTTGCAGCTTTTGGGGTTTGTGGCTGGCAGCTGTGGTTAAGGGTACACTGGGTTTGGTTCCTCATTCACCTGCCTCTAGAATCCTCTAAGCCTCTAGATGTGTTTTTTTCATGTGCGTCGAGAACACAGGTAGAAGGTTCCCGCCACAACCCCCGAAGAGGTAAATCTCGGGAATTTGCAGCTTTTAGGGTTTGTGGCTAGCAGCAGGTACACTAAAGGTGGCTACGTTGTTGCAACCCAGGCGTGCAAGGCATTGCGCTCAAGAAAGAGAGGGAAAACCAAAACACAGAGGAGCCAAAATGAGCTCTGAATCCAAACACCACACTCACAAACGAAACCCAAGGAAAACTTCCTCAAATCAGCATGCCGGTCATCATCCTTTCCGGGGGTTGTGGCTTTCAATCCGTAATCCGTCCAAATCACATAATCCGAAAATTTGGTAATCCGTAATCTGGCTAAGGATTAAGGATTACGTTTGTTGAGGCCAGAGTCTTTTCAGTGGCCTTCACCCAGCTTGGGCCAAAGTACGGTCAGTACAGTGGCGTGGCTCACGGTCTGTGCAGTGGAGCGCGCAGTGACATGCAGTGGGCATGGAGTTACATCTCAACACGACCCCGTGGATCAAGACGCTGCAGTTCAAGCCTCGGACCCGCAAAAGTTAAGTCTATTTGCACAGTGAATCCTAAGAACGAACTCAATACACTCATCAATGAAAAATAGACCAACAGTACAGGGTCATCCTTGCAAGTTACAAATCGCTTCAGTTCACTTTCACAGCCATCAAGACAATGCAACGCCTACTTAACTTGAACTAGTCGGCTCAGTGCACCCAGTCATCTCAGTAGCGCTGGAGTGTGATCACAGTGTCAGTGGATCCCATTGACAATCCAGTCACCTTCGGATTCACTTTCAAAACATCAACAATCTTCTCAATTTCATTTTTTTTCTCTTTTAGTCTTGCTATACAGAGTACTCCATTTGTAGTTCTTCAGTCACGGCAGTCACCACTCCAGATCTGAACATCTGCATCTCAATAAGTGGCAAGTGACCGACCAAGTAGCGCTAGTCCTGATGACTGTGAAAGTGAACTGAAGCGACTTGTAACTTGCAAGGATGACCCCGTACTGTTGATCTATTTTTCACACCGAGAAGGTTGGGGATGGTTGGGGTATGCAAGTCATCTGGGATACCTTAAAGAAAGCTTGGAAGATTCTCTACTGAGAAAATGTTGGCTAGACGTGAATAGTCCTCGCACCTGAAGTAGCCATGTGAGAGTCACGTCGCACAAATTTGTTGTGGATTGGTTCTACTCGATGCTTTGGGATTTCAATGGATCCTCGTCATCCCACACTGACACGAGCCAGAATCCAATCATCAACCCATCGGTGGGGGTCATTTGGTTCCCAGGAGGAGTATTGCCAGATCATCAAACATGGGCAAAATCGGCAACGTGGGCAAAGCGAATTTTTGCCGACTTCCAGGCCGAGCAGTTGACTTATTATGCTGAGGAGAAGGACATACGAATATAAATAGTGGCCCTCACCTTTTTGGCGAGGGATCAAGAGGGGCTCCTGCAGAGCACCTGGTAAAACATTCGCATTCAGTACTTAGTACTGAAAAATAAAATGTACAGAAAAGTGAATCAAGCACCTGGCAGTGAGTTTACTCAGGGCACAGTGGTGCACTGGCAGCGGCCTCATAGTATGCTTGACGCTTCACGCATCGGCAGGATGGATGCGCCCGGCTCACCATGGGGGTGTACAACCAAGTCACTTGCAACACGAGAACGGCCAAGATCACCACGAAGATCAGTAGCTGGGTTAGTGAGTAGTACCTGGCACTGCGCAATGTTATGCAACATGTCACGGCCGCCGACAGCGGCGCTGAGTGGTTTGAATTCTTCGGGGGCCAGAACAGGGACACTGAGGGATACCACACTTGCCGGAGCCCACAAAGGTTATGGTTCCGACAACCTATTATAATATATCATAATTCAGTGAGGTGCTTCTACGATACTTTTGCTCCGTTCACAGCAAGGCTACTTTGTTTTGTACTCCTTGGATTGCGGGGGATTGACATGAAGGCAAGTGAACAGGACTCAAGGACCGAGAGATAACCCGAATCCATCAAGTTCAAAACTTCTGACTGTGTGACTTCCAGCCAAGTTGTGCCTTGACCAAAAGAAACCACATCTACGCACAATTTTCAAATAGGAGCTGTTTTGTGGAGGATACGCCAAACGTGGCTCTGGAAATGAAAATTGCCAAGAATCTGCACCAGCGTAGCTAAAGAGCCCCAAATCAAGCTGCCACAGATGTAGCTCCAATCACAAACTTCGGAATGGCGACCAGCTTGTGGGGAGATTAATTTGTAGGGAGTTTTGGGCATCTCAAAAAGTACTTTTTGAGCAAAAAGTGTCACGTGCTAACATGTCATAACACCTCCGTGTCTTACAACGATTTATAACGTGAAAAAGTGAAAAAATGAAAAGTAAAAAAAATATATATTAGATTGAAAAGTTTTAAAAGTTATGCACCAACAAACATTGAACTGACATGAATTAGTATCCTTGATGGATGTGGCATGGTTGTCTTATTGGCAATGAGAGCAGAGCTTGGTGATGGAACTTCAATCATCAAGTTTACTACATTGCCAACATTACTATTTATTTGGCATGTCTAGTACCTGTGTTTGCATATGCCCAGGATGTATGAACATATATCCACGTCAGGATGCATCCCCAGGTCACATGGCAATGCATATTTCCTGTTGCTGATGTGATATCTCACAAAAACATGCCAACATCTTCCCCTCAATTAGTCAGTCAGTCAATTGTGTCAATTGCATCTGTTGTGTTTCTTCAATTTCTGATGTTGAATGCTTGTGGTGTGAAGTGGTTTCAGATTGAGATTCTCTGAATTGAGTCATTGCTTGAGATGTTACTACATTGTCATTCACCTGCTCGGGCCTTAGTTTGCAAACATGTCTCGTTGACAAATGATTTGCGTCAATTGTGTCATTTGCGTCATTTGGATGTTTGCAGGTCAATGTTTTGTTTGGATGCTTCAAGGAGGGGCTGCAGCGCGTCAACTTCATTCAGGGTGGGGGCCCCAGGATTTCTTTGACAAGCACTTTTGGCAAAGTCATTTTCATCTTGAAAAGTGATTTGGTCAATTGAGTCAATTGTTCATTTTGTTCTACTCATCCAGGGCTTTATTTATTATTCAGCAGCTGTGCCAATGCATCAATCAAATTATGTGAAAGAACGGATGAATGAAAAGAATGTCAGAGGCAATAGGGCTCAAGTTGCGTGATTTGTGTTGATTGATTTGCTGTTTGTCTTAATTGCGTGATTTGTATCAATTGTGGTCGCCAATTGCAGATGGTGAATAGATGGTCAAGAAGAGCGTCTGCTGCAGCAAGTCGAGAGACCACGACTCCACCAGCTCTCAATCAATCAATCAATCCATCCATCCCATCCATCCATCCAATCAAATCAATCAACCAACCCACCAATTCAATTAACCACTAAATCTATCC